TGAAATATTTTAGCACCCAATCCTAGCTCCTTGGGTTCGAAATATGCTCCGCGCCCAAACATAGCGCCTTGTTAAAAAAAAAAAATGTGACGTGGTGGGATTAAAGAGTGGCCATTTCACATGATGGTGGAGAGCACTTCATTCTTGAGCGCAAAAATGAATGCAAGCGCATGGTAGGAATGAGATCAACCATTGAAATTGTTGCACAACCGCTCGACGTCGTGAAATTGGACTCGTAGACGGGAGCGGCAACAAAATTGGAGAAAGAAACTAGGTGCATGATTCTCGACACCTGAAACTGATAAAGACACCATGCGCCTCTCATTTCAAAGGGAAGCGCCCATTGGTTGGTTGGTTGGTGTCAGAGCAAACTCCTACACTCTCAACACAGTTAGCGCCTGCGACTTGAGACTGCCTCCATACCCAAAGGGAAGCGCAGAGCTATAACATCAAAATCACTCAAAAAGTGATTTGGGAGTAAATATTACAGTCAAGTTGAAGAGCAAGTTGATGATCCATGTGGGACCGCGCCTCAATTTAATTGGCATGTTTGAGCTCCGACTCCATCCTCGTCCGTTTATTTGATATACGTTTACAACGAACCCCATCAAGGATTAAGCTAAGTTTCGTTATCCCTACATAAATTCTCTTTATAACTTGTGCATATTTCAAATTCTACGAGTTTACTATCTTTGTGGTAATTTCCCAGCATTATACTAGTTTTCTTTATCATTTGAATACTTCTAGGTATGTATAAGGGTATCACTGAACGCCTAAGAGCAATTGGGAGAGACAACATATATATTTGAAAATTATCAACATCCATAAAATTTCTAATTGGTGCTTGAAAGTCCATGGTATGAATAACATTATATTGCATCGTCCATATTGCATGTATTCTTTTCTTTGTAAACCTAGTATAATGTTGGGGAATGAGCACACTTATGTTGGAACAAAAAGGCGTGTAGGCGTCCAGCTCAACATGAGTTTGCAGGAAAACTTGCAAAATAAAGCCTTCCAGTTAGACATCAAATACCCTACTGGATCTCTAACCGGGCGACAATTGTTGAGGCACTCCAATCCCCACTCGAATTATATTTCAGTTATTGTATAAATCAAATTATGTTGCATCATTTGGTATATTTGTGATCGTCTTGTTGTGCAATTAATATGATAATGGGGGACATGAACGGGGGACAAAACACTAAATGATCTTACATGAAACTTGACAACTGGGGGTCTTTAGTTAGCCGTCCAGTGCACCACTGGGCGCCTAACTGGGGGACAATTGGGGATAACATGCATATGTACATTCAACAACTTTTCAAGGCGAACAAATCTTCAAGTATGCATTGAAATTATCATTCTTGTTAGACACCAGATGTGTAATAAGTAGTTTTTTTCCTCGTTGCTTGAGTTATATCGCTAACCATGTTATGAGTCACATTATGTTACGTAGTTCTTTCTCTACATGGTTCTTGCTCCAAATTCTTAAGCTATTATGATCATGGGGGCATGGATCAGTTAGCCGGGGGACAAGAAGTGCATACACGTCATACGCCAGAAGCAAAATACAAAGGATGTGACAACATAAAGGATTTTAGTTAGGCATCCAATATACTATTGGATACCTAACTGGGGGACAATTATTGGACCCGTAAATATGACACGACTCAACTCGAACAATAGCGGTAATCCACAAGTGCAGATGGGCCCAAGCCCACATAGACCCAATGAAAGCCCAATGAAGGGTGACAAGGCTTGACCTATAAATATACCTTTAGGTCTTCCAAGTAAGGGATCTCTTCTTCTCCTCTTCTCACTTTGACATATCACTTCTCTCTCTACACCATCTCTCTCTACCCATGCTCTCCATGTTTCCCAATCACTATACTAATGTTGATCGTTGGAGTGTAGATAATGGGGCCATCCCCGCCCTTTCACAGATCCGGAGTTTCCTTGTTTCTTGGCTGAAACAGAAACATTAAAGAAACCACCACCCCTTATCATGCTTCGTACAAGTTTTGTGAGAATAAGGGTAGACAATTGCACAGTTTTAGTTTTCTAGTGCAATATGAAGTTTGGTGTGTGCAATGAGTTTTACTAGATCGATATCGCATTTTTTGTTTGCAAACTTTCTAAACTCACTAGTAAATCAAGTCTTGATCATTTGAAAGGTTTTAAATGAGTTTTTGGTTATACCTAGAACAAACAAAAGCTTTTGGACTCTTCTATAACAACTTTCATGTTGTCCAATATGCCTACTCTGATGCTAGTTGGATAACTAGAGATGTTGATAATAAATATAGAACTTGATGAATTGTGACACTAGGAGATCGCATTGTTTTATGGGCTTTGAAATAACAAATGTATATTACACACTCCACCATGTAAGCAAAATTCTTAGCCCTAATAGAAGTTTGAAAAGACACAAATCACTAAGGAACATGTTATTACATATAGATTGTGTCCACAATCGATGCCATCCATTTATGTCTTTTGTGATAGTGAGATTACTTTACTTGGAGATTATAACAAGATTTACAATGGTAAATCTATACATATCAGGATACGACATGATCATATCAATATTTGATTAATAACATAATAATCATTTCTATTGTGTATGTTAGATCATGCAACAAATTAGGAATCCACTAACATTGGGGTTAGCGAGAGACATTATCTATGAGACATCCCAATGAATGAGATTACTACCTCTTAAATAGTTAGTAGAGATGAAACTCAACCGTGCTTACTAGTTAAAAGGTTCACTGTGGCGAGAGACATTATCTATGAGATATCCCAATGAATGAGATTACTACCTCTTAAATAGTTAGTCGAGATGAAACCCAACCGTGCTTACTAGTTAAAAGGTTAATTGTGGTAATAACAAGTTATTATATCCATCGTGCTAATTTGTCGTACAAAAAAACCAGTCTAGAGAATGATGAGTTATAGAACTCTTAATAACACTCATTTAGAATGTCACCCAATTGAACAATGTGAGTGGTGCCACTCTCCGAAAAGAAGAGGTCACCTTTTTGTGTACGGTCATGAAACATGATCAACACGTGGCCATAACAATGCTATCATTGTTTGCAATTGCGATATAAACAAGGGACAGGTAAGTGTTTGGTAACTCCGGTTCCAAGTTCTAATCATGACTTATAGGCAAGAGCCTATCACTGATATGCTTTTAGCTTTCAGTTTCTTACATTAAGTAAATGTTCAAATCGTAAACGTACCTTTATGTATGCATTGATTATCGGACTATGTATTCTCAAATCATGTTGACTAAGTGTGGATTGTCATAGATAGTCTTAAAGTATGTGAATTACCACATTGGAACAAATGTAAAATGAAATTATGTTTATAAATCCACTTTTCACTCTATTTTACTGATAAAATGGTTAATAGTTTTTTGTGAGCGGTGTAGCGCTCACTTAGCACGTTTTCATTGCAGTTCGAACTATATTTTTTGGTCGGTAATAAAATTAATTATTTAGGGTAATTAGCTATTTATTTGTATTATTGTGAAACGACACATTCCCTTATAAGGGACTATTTTTACAATAAAGTGTGTTGTTGCCATTATTTCTTAGTAGTTCCTTTTTCCTAGTTTCTTATCCAAAATCACAATGTCAAAAATCTAAAGTCGTTGCTTCAAATTGTTTATTTGAAAGGACTTATGGGGATGGGATGCGTATGCCTAATTCCTGACAACAAACTATAGTGGAGCAAATAACACTTTAAGGAGAGTGAATCTATCAGACCTTCATATTGTATTTCTCTGTATATTCCTAACACACATGTATTGTGAGAGAACCTTAATGAACACCCTTTTTGGGTATGTGAAGAGAGAGACTTAGCAATGATGAAAATAAAATGGGAGAATGGATCCTCCAATGGATGCCTCTTGTGAGTTGGAAAGACTTAATTGGTTGTACATTAACTAACATCGAAATAATGGATTTACGAATCCACTCTTGAAATCAAGCTTTCGATCTTCCATAGAAATCTATTGCTACCAGGATGTCATTCAATGATACAACTCAATGAGATTAGAAACCCTATCCGGTTGAGTTTAAGCATCATGTCTCGAGATCCTCCTAAAAGACATTGTTTGAAGTGGTGAGAGATATCATGAATCATATTTCGAATTCCTCAAACTGGGATGAAGGTTGTTCGCATTCAGAGACAAGAACGACAATATACACTATAAGTACAACTATAAAACAAGGAGAAAAAGATAATGTCCAAATGTTCCATGATCTTTCGACCCTCATTCTTGTTGTGCTCCATATAAATTTCATACATTTATATTCTATATAATCGTAAGAGTTGTAAACACAAAAGGATGCTTATAAGTATGACTCAAGTCTTCATATCTGGCCCCCACTCTCCTTCATTACGTAGTTTGTCTAATTGTAAAGATGTACATCTTGAACGTTCATAATTTCAAGCAGATACCATGCAAAAATTTCGACCTTACAGAACGAAAAAAATTCCGACGACCAATATTTGTAAAAGTTTGCAAGATATTCCTTACCATCTGTAAATAAATAATAAGAAATTACATTTATCGATTTGTTTTAGTTCTCACACTATTGGTTTAACTCATAACTTATATTACCAAAAAAATCGATTATAAGAAACTCGTGAAACTACTACTAAGTACTAACACCACTCAACAATTAGTCTTTCAATCGTCAAATCTAAGACGGATTCAACGAATGTGTATATATACATACGACAACAAATTTAATCATAGTAAGCAATTAATCAACTGCCAAAAATCCCCTCAAGGGAAATTGGTAACCAAGCACTAATTACCATTAATATTGGATTCTTCCACCCTCTTTCCCCTCTATACATAAGCTCTCCCATGTTCATAAAACCACACAACCCTCTTGTGAAAATGAATAAGAACTTCTTCTCCCTCACCAGAATGAATAGAAGAAACTGAAAATACCTATTAGGTTAAGAAAATAAGAGAAGAATTATTTGGCGCCTTCCAAAGACATTCCTCTCCTTTTATTTTCCACCATATTTCAAAAACTTTTCAGATTGTTTCTCATTCTCTCCCGCGCCATTGACGCGCCAGTGGAGTGGAGGGAAGAACCCAAAAATATTTCGTCTCCTCCAAACTGGATCAGCTAGCAGCCTAGCACGGACTCCCATTAAAACCCTCCCGTTTTTTCGCGCTTTTTTTGCGGGTGGAGTCCGTCGTTTTGTAGCAGGCCGACGGTTGAGGCTGCTTTTTGGATTTTGTTTCTTACTCCCCTCCCCTTTTTGTGCGGCTTGTTTGTCCCGAAGCCGGACGGAAGGGTTAGAAATTGTGACAGGCAGTCAGAGTTCAGTCGGCAGCAGGAGACTAGCGGTGTAGTAATGGCGTCGACGCAAGCAATCCCTGCCGTGGAAATCCAGAGCTCACCGGCGAAAGGAGGGAGGTCTCGGACTAAGGATCCTGGGCTTCGCGTTGTAGGCGGCAGAATTTACGATTCTCGCAATGGGAAGACTTGCCATCAGGTGAACTTTCTCTCCGTCTCGATTCGTCGCGGCTCTTACTATGTTCAATTTTGTGGAATGCCCATTTCTTTCGGCGATCTGTTTGGTTGAATGAGAAAATGATGGGAAAATGAAATGGGGCTGACTTGATTTTTCATTTTGGACTTTTGGGCTGGCGAGATTTGAATACTTAGCGGATCTGGAATGCTTCTTGGTTCAGATCCAAGCTGATCAGGAATGCTTCTTTAATCTGTTAGCTGTAAACCGTGAATGCTGTTTGGTTGCATTTATCAGATGAAGCCACAGGAGGGTAAATGAAAGGGGCGGCGAAGTTCAGATCTTCAAATTTATGATGTCTGATTACTTGTTTGGCATAATGGGTTTTTGCTTAAATGAGCTGGATCTTTCGCATGCTCAATTTGAGTTCAAATTGATGATCATGTTCATCAGGTGCTAACGCATTTGGTTTTAGTTGGGGGAACGCTTATGAATTTCTTAAATTTTAGGGTTTGAGTTGTACTGTTTATTTTTAAAAAAAAAAAAAAATTAAAACAGTCAATTAGGGTTTCCTCCACATTCAAGTTTAAGTTCCTTTCCTGTTGTATTGATTCTTGTTATTTTTCCTAAATTGATCCTTGTAGTGCCGTCAGAAGACGATGGATGTTATGGCTCAGTGTAGGATTCTGAAAGAGCGCAGCAAACCATGTCCCATTACTTATTGCCATAAGTGCTTGCTGAACAGGTATCGGTGTCTAACTTTGATTCTGCATTAGGTTCCTTTTCAGGTGTTATTGGCATAGCTAATGCATTTTTTTTGCGTGTTGATTTCTTATAACTACTGTTTAATTACATTTGATTAGGTATGGAGAGGTGGCTGAAAATGTCTCACAGATGGAAAACTGGCACTGTCCCAAGTGTAGGGGCATTTGCAATTGCAGCTACTGCATGTAAGTATGCCAGTTTCGGGAGCTTAAACACGAGCGTTAGTTACGCTATTTGAGGAAAACTAATTAATTATCATTTTCTCAGGAAGAAGAAAGGTCACCAACCCACTGGTATTCTGGCGCATACAGCAAAGCAAAATGGGTTTGCATCTGTTTCTGAACTTCTGCTGGTGAAAGGTCCTGAAAACTTTGTGTACACTAGGGCGAAGGACAAGGATGCTTCCCCGAAGAAAACTGTTTTGAAAGTGGTGTGTATTTACTTGCTCTGTTACATGTGTTTGCAAGATTTCTACTCCCTCTTACATGTTCATTCATGTTCTTAACAGGAGCCGGAAGTTGGTTCACCAAGGAAGTCAGGGAAAGAGAATTCTTTGGATGGAAATGGTGATTTACCCTTGCATACTCAGAATGAAATCTCAAGTCCCAAGATTAACAAATCCAAGAAAACAAAAAGGGAAGGGCTGAAAGAAGTTAGTAATGGCCTTGCTGAAGATGCTGCCTCAATGGTTAAGAAGAAGAAGCGTAGGATGCATGAACATATTTCTGAAAATGACGATGCTGTTGTTCCAAAGGCCCATGATGATAATGAACCAGCCATGGCTTCAAAATCCTGCTGGAATCATAAAAAAGAAGTGGTGCATAATGAGATTCCTTTGCCTCAAGGCTCAATTTTAACTAATGTGGCAGGAGTTGACATGGGTCCTGAAGATGCTGGACATGCCTTACAATTCCTGGAGTTTTGCAATGCTTTTGGCCAGGTATTGATCTTGAGAGTTGATATTAAGATTTATTATTTGAGTTTTATATTGCCTGAAAGACGGAATCATGTGTTAATAAGTTGGTACGTAGTAGACAATAATTTTTCGTCTGGTCGCTTTATTTATTGCTGCATTTAGAACTTCTTTCCTTGTCAATCTCAAACAGTTTTATCAATTGTTTAATTGATTTAGTTTGTTCTCTTTGGTCTTTATGGTGAAGGCTTTTGATCTGACGAAAGGGCATGCTGAAGCAGTCATAAGGGAAATGGTAAAGGGCCGAAGAGGATGTAGGACGCAATCCTCTCTTGTAATCCAGGTTCATATCCAGCTGCTATCTCTGTTTCAAGAAGATACAGATGAAAGGTGCAGGATCCTACCTTGAAAAGACTTGTTACTGTTTTTACTGTTTGTTGCAACTTTATCATAATTGTGCCCTTATTTGCAGGTGTCCAACCCTAAGTCCAACAGATGGCCAGAATTCGTGGCTGTTATCTCTGGGGGAATTTGTCTCCAAATACCCTTTCATGTCGAAGGACTTCCCTCCCGACTGTTTTGACAGAGGGAATGGCACGTACGAGGAGTTGAACGTCTCTGGAAAGCTCAAACTCCTTAATTTTCTGTGTGATGAAACTCTCAACACCATGTAAGAAATGAGAAGTTAATGAGTTGTGTAATTCTAGATGATTCACCTCTAAGATGTCTTGATTATTTTCTCCTTTCTAATTGTTTGCTTCTATAGAGAGTTGAGAGACATCATTGATGAGCAAAATTTGGAATTCCATGCAAGTAGGAAGGAAGCCAAGGCCAAAATTCTTGCTGCAAAGGACAAGGTATAGGAAGACTTGATGTGAATCCTTTCTCTAAAATGCAAACATTGCTCCTTGGATTATATGGATTTGAAAAGTACTCCTTTGCTTAACTGCAGGAAAAGGAAGTGAAAAAGAAGACGCAGGATGAGATTGCGAAAGCTATACTTGCCAAAAATGGGGTTCCTTTGTCCATTTCTGAGCATGACGCATTAATGTCTCAGATTAAAGAGGAAACTTCTCAAGCTCATGCAGAGATGGAGGAGGCTAAGGCCATGGTATCTACGGGTGAGTTCAGATCTTGCTTCCAGAGTAGCAGTTTGATGAATTTGTTTGTTTTATTTGCCTCAACATTGTTGGAAGTTAGTAATTTGAGCCATTCAATACTCTTCTAGGTTATGTGGCATCAGCCACGCTGTTAGCTTTTATGGCTTCAGTACTCAATTATAACCTATATCTAAATTACATGTGCCTGACTAGTTAAAGAGTGTTTTCAGCTGAATCCCTCTCTGATCATATTATGCATAGTGATGACGATTTGGGTAATTATTCTTAGTACTTAATCCACTTTCAGGAGCTCTACTGCCACGCTTTCTCACGTCGTGTAGTGATTAATGTTTTTTCTATCTTTTTTTCGGTGCCATGCATGTTGCACGTCGAGGTCTGCATGCATATCTTCTATTTTTGTTTCATTGTTTGTTTGCCAGCATCAGTTACTAATTTGTCCCACTTTATTGCTGCCAACAATAAAACACAGAATCACAAAGATCTGATGCTATAAGAACGGTTCCCATGCTTTTGGATATCAAGGGTCGTGCTTTTTGGAGACTAAGGAGCTACAACAATAGCAAAGATATCTTACTCCAAGGTTACTTAAACCAAGCTTGTTTCATGTTTATTAAATTATCAAAGAGTCTGGTCACTTATCTATTGTTTTCATTGAACAGATATGGGTGATTTGGGCTCGGATTCGCCTAGTGAGAAGTGGTTTACTTATGACGAAGCACAGATACCAGAAATTGAGAAATATATATCTGTCGTTAGGCAAGTCATGTAATTTGAGCTATGTAAGGAAACCATGTTTACTCTCCTCACTTCCTGTCTTATGTGTCCTTTCCTTTGCTTGGCTGTTTGAATTTGGTTTTCAGGGCTAGGACAAAGGTCAAGGGTAGAAAAGGTTATGAACCAGTACCAGATGTCAACATGGAGGAAAGCTTATAGCTTCCTTCAAGTAAGAAAGCTAGGATCTTCATGTGTACAAAACTGGTACGAAGTAACTGCATTATCCCCCCCAGTTTTGGTTCATGCTGCTGGACCTGTAACTGACTTCCTCTCTTTGTTTCTCTGTGTGTTGTTTACAGAAATGGTGCAGGATCCTCAATGTTTGGACGGCAACTTTGACAATGTAGTTGTACAGAAGAGTGGTGAGCCAGCCTGATGGCAGTTAAGGTTAACTACTACTTCACTTTCATGGATGGATGCATGTGGAATTGGTGTATTCCCCAATCAAAGTGGAAATTAGATCTTCCCATTTTGAGTTCTTTTGTCATTGGAGGAAGGGGTTAAAAAGGGGACTGTTGTATTACTGAAAGTCCTGCATTTTGTGGACATGGTTTTAGATGGGAATAAGCTCCCTCCTTTCTGTTTCTTATTTGTTCTTTCTTGTAGAAATGACCTCAGTTTGAGACTTTGTTATAAATCCTCCATCTATAGTTTGCTGCTTCAGTCTCCTTGTTGCTTTCTCATTTTTTATGCTGCTTCGTGACAATCATTTATGGGACTAAAAACGCATGACTTGGTGCCGTTTCGTTATTTTCCGTTAAGAAGATTGAGCGAGGGAAAATCGTGACACGTGTATTTTAAGAAATTTGGATTATCAAAGAGGGCTCTGCTACCTCTCGTTTCGCTCTTCTCCTTCTGCAGAGAATCCGAGTCGGAGCTCTGAATTTTCTGCCGGGAAAAAAAAATGAACGCGTTGATAGCGTCTCCGGCTGCGGCGGTGAAAGTGGGAACCGTTCCCCGGTTCCAGATAACTCGTCGTCTCAACGGCGGCTGCTCCTGCCTCTCTTCACACCGGAACTCTGCTTCTTCAACACCGTCGGCGACAAGATTCAGTATCCAGCGCAACGGCCAGAACCTCAGGCTGGTTTTGGTCGCGAAAGCTGCTGATTCCACTCAGCCAACTTCTTCTTCTGCTGCCACCAAAACCCTTGTTCCTGACGATGGATTCACTCTCGCCAAGGTTGGTTTATTTTTCACTCTCCCCTTTCCATCTGTACTTAGTTCATTTTCCATTAGGTTTTATAGGAAGAAGATAGTTGATTAGCACATACCTTATCTCTTATTCGTTCGGGTGTTCGGTTGCAAAGCTGATAGCTTTACGCCTGGAGCAGCTACATCTGTTCTTTAGTATGATGTTCTGGGTTTGAGTGTTTCGGTTTTCTTTTGTATTAGAATCTATAACTGTCCAAAGCAGCAAATACAATTTTGAGTTGAACCATATAGGTCCGGATCCAAAGAAATTAGAATACAAACTATTGTGAGGTTGGAAAATCACCCAAGAGGGAGAAAAACTAACCTAGCATCCAAGTAGGCAAACTGATTACACAATATATATGACCAAACCCCCAAAAACTGACCTGGTTCTACATCCTGCTGTGGGAATCATCTTATAGCATCTATGCAGTGGATCTTTCTTTAGCATGAAAATGATTCCTCTTTTTTCATATGTAGTATTCCTCGTGACCGTGGACTTATTAGTAGCTGCAATGCTGTGTAATGATATCTTAACTGTGGTTTTTGTTATCTTTACTAGATCAGTTCATCGTTTGGCTACCTCAAAATGACCTAGTAACATTCTAGGTGTCTTATCAATCTTGTTTAAAATGGGAAGCTAAGATGAGACTTCCCATTAAGGATAGAAAGTTTTTGTTTTGCTAGCAGATCAGGTCAAGAAAAACTATAATTGAGACTTCTGAGTCCCAGTTAACCTCTAGATTTATTGGGAGGTCAGGAAAGGTGGCATAGAGGAACATGGTGGAATATGAATATATTATTTGTTTGTCCATATTGGGAACTTATGCGCTGCTGCATTCCTCTTTTATTGATAATCAAACTGTTCCTCCATATTTTGCAGATATCATTTGGTGTTATTGGGCTGAGTCTTGGCGTTTCACTCCTGTCGTGAGTTCTTTAACACTCTATTGTACTAGTAAACTAGAAGAGGAACACTGATAGCGGACTTCTTTCTGATTTACAGATATGGGTTTGGAGCCTATTTCAATATCCTTCCAGGATCTGAATGGTCAGCTTTAATGCTCACTTATGGATTCCCCCTTGCAATAATTGGCATGGCTCTTAAGGTATTTATATTAAGGCGTTACCCACGTATGCACTATTCATATGCACATCAATGCAAGATCTTTTTAATGGTTTCTTGACTTCTCATTTAGCTGTTAAAATCCGCCCCCCTTGAAAATGCTTCTTATAAATATATGTCATTAGGGATAATTGTTAAATGGAAGGGTCTAAGATGGCTAAAGGTCGACTTTGCCTTGGATTTCAGAATGTAATGATTGGGAAAATGTAAGAAATAAGGTTCTTGGCCACGTCCGATTCTCATGACAAGATAGGGTAGAAGAGAATTGATAGAGATTTAGGGATAATTGGGAAGAATTAGGGATTTAGGCTAGGAAGAACATAATTAGGGATTGAAGACGAAATTGTGTAGAATTTGGGAAGAATGTCCAGCGGCTTTTGGGGATAGGAGAGACGAGTTCAGAGGATTTGAGAGATTAGGGTTAAGGAATACTATTCATATTAATCTTTTGCTTAAATCTGACGAAATAACCCGAGTAAATATTTCGGGACAATATCGGAAACCTAATAATAAACCAAACCCTAATCGGCCACTAACCCAATTACCTCTAATAATAATAATAATTCCTCCTCCAAGCGTGTTTCTAACCGAAAATTAATAATGATGGTTCTTACTAAGGGAAAAGAATGCAGGAAATATTCCCTTCTTATTCATCTATTCATTGTGGTGACGTAATTTAATCCACAGACATCTAGGAGCATTCTTGCTGAGCCTGGCTTTAGGAATGAGCCATGTTATGGCTGTTTAAATATAATTTTTAAACCCATTAGGAAGAGATGAATGGTTCTAAATGTTAGCTCTGGTGTTGGAATGGACGAAAAGGTAATTAAATTAATTCTTGAGTTCAACATACTGTATCGTTTGACCTGAACTGAAGTGACCTAGTTATACTGATAACAAAGACAAATATCCAACAAAGGGAAAACTGTAGTTGGGGTAATATATTCTATTGTAGCTATCCTCACTCCTCAATGAGCATGTCACATTGATATTCATCTAGCTGATGTTTCATCACTGCTAGATTTTGAAACGAGTTATTTAATTTGTGCTTTCACCAATATATGCAGTATGCGGAACTCAAGCCTGTCCCATGTTTGTCTTATTCGGATGCTGTTGCATTAAGGGAGACATGTGCCACTCCCATCTTAAAGCAGGTCATTAGCTTTCAATTTTTTTTTTGGTCACCAGTAAACTGGTGTTATAATGTGCTTTAACTGAGTGAGAAATTTCAGCATGTCCTTGCCGTCTTTCTCTTATCATTATTCACATCTCAGATCTGGTGCAACTAATTGAAACTATTGTTTTTGGACATGTAATTGTGGGTTCCTTTTTTCTTGCAAGTCCTCCATCAACCTAGCTACTGCTTAGCACCCAAGTTATTCAAATCTCTGAATGACACTTAGTCAGTAGCTGCTCAGTGCAGTAGCCAATAGAGTGAATAATGAACATATCTTTTGACATTCTCTTCACCATACGAGCAACATTACTTTGTGTTTTAATTACCAGATAACATGCAAATATCATTCTCAAAGTCATTCTGGTAATTCAAAACTGAGGGAAGAGAATCACTCTGTGTTTTTAAGTTAATGTTGGAATACATGTTTGAATTTATATAATTATTTAGCATAATCTTTACTTTTGCAATTACTTTGAATTACCAGAATGACTTTTAGTTGTTTTAATTAGGTCAGGAATGACGTTATCAGATACAGATACGGAGATGAGCAACATTTGGAGGAGGCTTTGAAGAGAATATTCCAATATGGTCAGGTCTGTAGTGTTATATGTTACTTTGACCCCCACGTATTCTTCGTTTTATTTGTCTTTCTCAACATCCGGCTTCATGCTTAATTAAATGTTTGAATCACCTAAACTTTGGTGCTTGAAGCTCTCTAGTTGATGTACTCATCATTACCATGGTAAATGCTTGCTAAAAATAACAATAACAATAACAATGATGACGATAATGATATTATTAGAATATCTTTTTCCTAGAAAGCAAAATGGTGTTGCCTGAAAAATTTCCATTCTTAGGAGAAGATGAGGGGCAAAACTTTCAGATTTCTTTTATAGCATCTGATGTAGAGGTGGGCTTGCCTTTAATCTTTTGATGTTAAGATCCTGCTTGATTTATCTTGCTCTAACTTCCCATGTCTTGTGCATAACAGGGAGGAGGTATTCCTCGCAGGAGTGCACCTGTCCTACAAAAGATTCGTGAAGAAGTAGGTTCCTTCAGTTTTGTGTTTAGTTTCAGATTTCAGATAACTTGTAATTTATAGGCTCCTTTTGTGTTTCATCCTCCGAGTTGAGTTGATGTGGCTTCATTCTTGCTTTGCTCATATTCTTGTCCTTTGTTAGGTTACTGATGATGGTAAATATTGCCTTGTTCTGGCATTTGAGGCAAAAGCTCTACAATTATCCGACTTCGAAAAAAGACAGGTAGAAAGGGATGATTCCTGTTTGGATCTTGCACCTCTTAGTTAATTACCTTCGAGGATTAGAAATCATGAACAGTACTGTTCGCTCAGTATCTCAGCTCAGGTGATGTTTATTTTCAGGCAAAATTCACTTCCTTCTTTGGACCAGATATCACAGCAGAAGTTGGTGAGTTATATAATTAAGTGTATTCATTCGAAAACCTTCACGATTTGGGATTTGCTTGTGCAATTAAACAGTAATTTATGGGATGCTACTTATGAGAATGTAATGCATCACAGGGACGGGGGAAGGCGATCTATTCGAAGTGCGACTCGTTTCAAATTCAAATGCTGCAGTATCATCTTCGTAGAGAGTTTGATGGTACAAATTCAGTTTCACCCTGCTCTTGACTTGTATTTTCCATCTCATATGTTTCGTTGCTTAAGATTTTGTAATGTTGAGATCTGATATATATTTTGGCACAAATGTATTTGCACAGTCCAATATAATATGTACAGTTTTGGGAAACCGAGAATTATGTAAAAAGCCCTTCAACTAGGTGGCATCTATAGTGAATTACTTTCTCCACCAGGGCATTGATTGTACATGAGTAGTTAGGATCTCTATTATTAAAGTTGATGTTAGAAACTATGAAACATATGCAACTGGTCCAGAATCACTTGCCCTGCCTTAGCCATTCATAGATTATGCTGCAAAAATGTCCCTCTTTTTATCCCACTTTTTGAAACTTACCTGTTTACTGATGTTGACAGTTTTTGAAAAATAACATGAATGCAGTGAATTTGCTATCCTGCTGAATGGGGTGTGCCTCCTCAGCCATCTGATTCACAATCGAACGATTGTAGCGCACGCGAGATGTGTGCAAAAATGAGTCGTTGTGGTGTGTTCATGTTCAGCTCAGACCACGACAATCTGATCGCAAATATGATTGACGAGTTTATGCCTACCCTATTCAGCAGCCAATCGGGATTGGAATGTGGTCTCTTCCGGCTTCTGCTAGCCAATTATTGAGACTGAAAAGCTTATACTTTATATTGCGAGTCTCTACTGTTGCTTGATTATGGCCAATTTTTTTCGTTTTCCAAATCTGAAACTACAAAATACTGAAGTAGCAGGAATGACAGTTGTGCTACAACAACTATGAGACAAGCTGTGTGCTTGTGGTTCCATAAGCAGAACAGATGAGACGTGTATGAGAATGATTTAGCGAATACAGGGGTCATTTTCTCTCTGTTGTTCTGTCTCCTTGTTCCTCGTGCATTTCTTGATCTTTTGCAACTTGCGTGACAGGGGTAGAGCCTCATCAGTTTTCTCAATCACTTTAGTTATTCGGTGAATTCCATGCTTCTGTTGAAACACAGAATCTTTCTCCATACACTACCAGAAGCAAAAACCCAAAAGCTGTCAACAACCTCATTTTCATTTTTTCCCCACCCTTTGCAGAAGAAACAACAGAAGGTAGCATCACTTTTGAGTCTGAAACTACAAGATCGAAACCACAAAAGATAAAGAATTGCAGACCCTCCTGATATTGTCACCACGGAACAGCTACTCTGTTCTTATAAAGACCATCTCATAAGCTTGTCACTGTTATCATAGCTCCCTTGCCCACTGCTTAGCTCTCTGAGCTCGCTGGGTTTCCGATATCAGCAGCCTTCGAGCTTACGCAGGAAGATGTTTTTCTTGCTTGGTGTTTTGTGTTTCTCTCTTTGCCTCTTCCTCATCCATGACAGGCAACCACCTTGGCTGCTGCTGCTGTTGCTGTAGCTACTGCATCTCCATATTACCTCCTCCTTTTTCTTACCGTCTGTTTTCGTAGATTCTTTTTCCATTTGAGGCTGCACACAGAAGAACCCCACAAATTTTGCACATCAATGTGTCTGTTTTTTCACAGGTTGTGTTAGGTTCAGTTAATCATTGTTTATCCAACTCCAGGCATTAGTGCTTGAGGTTGAGAATTATGACCCAGAGTGAGATATTGAAAGAGTTAAAACACCTATCGGTGGACCTCTCTTTGGATAGTTGATGTGCTAGGTTTGAGCTGGCAGGGTAAAAAGGCAGTTGAAATAAGTGGGCTTATGATGAGGAAGTTGGTAACTGTTTTTCTTCTTTTGGGTGTTGAGAGTTTCTGGATATGAGCTAATTTTGGGAGACGAAAACAGAGACTGGGAATATTGGACCACCCATTTTAGGGCTGCCCTCTAGGTACTAGGGACCTCTCTGAAAGGCAGCAAGGAATATGAATGACATACAGATAATCCCAGGAATGAAAGGCCAAAGCCATGCAGGGAAATGGAAAGTCTGAGCATTCTTCGATATTATTTCGTTATGTAAACTAGGGTCACCATGATCTTTTTGTGTGATTCCTCTATGGCTGAGCTAAACTATCATTCATCATTGCACTTATTTCACGGAACTGCCTAGGGGGAGGTTTTCAGGCCATGATGGTATGGCTCTAAATGCAGTGAATGTAGGAAAATTTGCAGCAAAGGACCAAGATTCCAATATAATGTTGGTCATGTGGTGGTAACGGAGTCCTCTGCAACACTTGGCAGTGTTGTGGCGTTCTCATTGACAACTACACACCATGGAAATCAGAAAGAAAAGCAGCAAAAAGTCATTAGAGGCACAGCTGAAGCATCTTCGTTCGTGCCACATAACAACAAATGCAAAGTGAAGGTACGTACTCTGCAGAAAGCTATCTTTCTTTCTACCTTTCTGCATGATATTTCTATCATCTTTATTAGCTGACACAGGTTTGGAAATGGGGGAAAAGGCTGAAAGATAGGGAAGAAAGGAAGTGGGATTGATGTACATTTTTAACCTGATTGGCTGCAATCGCCTAGAAATTGCTTAACATATAAACTCTATGTTTGTGGGACATGCAATCTCTCCATTAGATTTCGAGAAGGGGGACCAATTATCATGACTATGAATTCTGGAGTGGCAGAGGGGGACCAATTATCTCTGTTTTCTTTCTCTGCAGTGGCATTTGTACTTGGACAGGGCCACGACATCTCCCACCCATTTAACCCCACAAAGGTACCAATTTATTCTGTTATTGCTTCCCCATTTTGGAAGGCAGCATATCCATCTAGCCCTCTAATTTCTAAATCATGTCGATCAGGAAACACCTTAGGCCCAAGAAAGGAAAACGAACTTCAGCAATGTGACATGTAGCTATGGCACCTAAACTTCAGCAATTGAGTTGCTTGTGAATTGCTGATGAATGGTGAAATTAATTGAAAGAAAGTTCAAAGGTGGTTTACCTTTTCTGCAGCTTTCAGAACAGTTGCCTTAGGGGGATCTTCTCCACCTTCTGCTTCATGTCTCTTCAATGGAGATGATCTCTCTCTTACTGCAGCGGTTTGACCGGGGCTAGACCCACTTGAACCGAGCTCCTCAGGTGGTGGAGTGCTCTGCGTTCCAATATCTCTAGTACTTCCAGAGCTCTCCGTCTTGCTTTCTGGACAAAATTAAATCAAAAGTACATGCTTCTCTCAGCTCTGGCAAAACAACAACAGAGAACCAAAGTGTTCAAATTGGGTTAGAACCGAACCTGGAATGGGGGAAGTAACGTGTATGTGATGATCCTGGGAAGCTGCAACAACAACAGCAGCAGGCTTGTTGACCTGGATTTGCCTCGGATGGGTGGACGAAGAAGAGTAAACAAGAGGAGCAGACACTGTAATCTTGTTGTAAAACGATCTGCCACTCAGCGTCTTCGCCGAAAGACACTCCATGGGCACCTGCCCTGAGAGAGGATTGCATATGTACTTCTCAGCTTCATTCCACTTGGAGTGCAGAGCAAACCCATCTGGGGATAAACACTCCCCTGCCCAGCTGTTGCATTGCCCTGACCTTGTCTGCAGAGCTGCGTTTCATTTTCCACAAACTTACTACTGAAGAGGAAGATGGAAAAGGTGAACACTTTTTGCATAGTTAGTAATAGTATATACCTTTGAGAGCAGTGGTGAATGAGTATGTTGACGGGTCGATCTCTTCTTTGAAAGGGTGATAGCATGGAGAGGAAGCAGTGCTGGAAATGGTGAATTGTGATGATCTGAAAGACTTGGCATTATTGGCCTCTTCTCTGAAGCTTCTGATATGGGAACCTGAAAACCTTCTGCTGGACCTGATGGTGTCACGGCTCAGTTGAGACCTCACCCCCCAATAGTCTCTTAGACTCGGCTCTGGCATCTCGTCTCTTCGTTGCGAGCTGATTTGAGGGTTTTCCATTGATGAAGCCATATGATCAATGGTGAGCCACAGTAACAAGTGGAAACACAGACATAGGAGGGAAATGCTGTCTCTTGAAGGTATTTCCTTTCCTTTTTATATGACTTTGGGAAGGTCTAGTGTGCATGCGCTTCTCTTTCCAAACTAAGGGAGAGGAGAGATAAATCTTTTGTCATTTATCTGTTTTTCACCATCCAGGGCTTGGCATATAATAAATGGTCGCCAGTCTGAGGTATTTTTGTTTAATGCATGATTACCCTCTTTGAAATTTTTTTTTTCCTTTAGTAACATCAGGACTTTTTGATTAAGATATTGTTCGCTTTCGATGCACCCGTACGATTTTTCTTTTGGATGCATATTGTCCGGTTCAAGTCTATCTAACACTATTGAAACGTTACATTTGACAGCCATTTTTTCAAAATTGTCGATATAAAAATGTTGCTGGAGGACTTTTTGCAGTTGTGTGGGGAGAAAATCAGTGACAAGTTGGTTTTGTTTTCAGAAAACTTGGCAGGGACATTCTATAACTTCTACTCATGCATGTGTTGCATAATGTGGAAGAAAGTGATTCTAAAATTGAGACAGTGAGAGAGAGATGCATGAACAGTACTCTTGGCCTCTGCTTCAAATACAGAAGTAGCAGAGCAGCCAAGATGCGTGTATTTTGATTTAGGAACGAGTTGTAGGTGGTGTGGATGAATGTAACTAAGCTTTGCTTGTCTTGCTAGGCTGAAAATGTGTCGACCTAAACCAAACAATGAAACTGAGAGAATTGTGTGGACCAATGTTCTTGAATCTCGATCATTGAGAGGTAACGAGCATGGGACTTTGTTGTTCTAAGCATGCATGACACCGTCCGGAGTTAGAAAATCGATTTCGATGGTAAAGAATATTAGGCTTCTGTTATAGTAACTCGAGTTAACTAACATAGTCACGTTACTTGGTATTTACCATTCATTATAGATCTTTTGTCACTGATTTTGTGTACTTGTTGGTTGATATAAGATCAAACCGATTATAGTGTTCTTACAATTTTCGAATCAAGTGCGGACGCTCCGTAATCATCTGATGAACGAGCGAGCTGCTATTGTGATCACAATCCGATATAGAGGGGGAATCGATATTAAAAAACAAAGAGGCAAAGTGGTCCACTACTGGATTGGGACTTTTCTTGATGGAGATATTATTCTGGACTGCAATTTACAAGTTGATAAACTATGGAGTGGCTAGATATCCGACGTTGGGTTGTTTTCAGTGGGGTTCGACGCTCCATGGTCGAAAATCTAAAGGATAAGGAACTGCAACTAAAAGTTTGTGAGACATCCAAAATATATTTTACTTCTATTAAAGTTTGAGAGGTGTTGACAAGATTTCGTTTAAAGTGGATTTATTTGAAAAAATACATATGAAAAAATAATTTTTTTTAACTTTTTTATTATTATTCATGATATAATCTTATATTTGAAAAATAATGATGAATTTAAATATATTAGTAGTCGAAACTATAAGAATATTACTCTACGTGTACCAAATAATTATTCATTTTTTAGTTAATCGTTTGCTTTCGAATGATGTTATTTGTAAAGAATGGTTTAGTATCAATAACTCGAGTTGTTGGGAGATGTTCAATAATGAGTCTTATACCAAACAGTTATTTATGATTTAGTTAGTCTTTCATTTTCGAATGGTGTTCTTTGTAAAAAACTATTTAGTATAATTAACTTGAGTTACTGGAAGATGTTGGTGTTCTCTAAAAATACCACAACACATGAGGCGACGCTTTTTGAGACCACCATGCAAGTTGGTGCAGTTGGGATTCGTGATCGATACCTTGGACTACCTTCCCTAATCCGCCGTTCAAAGCGGGATACTTTTCGTTTCATTGAGGAAGCGGTGGCTAAACGTCTCCAAGGTTGGAAGCGACGTTGTTTATCGCCTGCAGGTTTGGAAGTACTAATTAAATCTGTCGTGTCTGCTTTACCTGTTCATGCTATGTCATGTTTTCGTCTTTCAAAGGAGCTCTGTCGGAATTTAAACCGTATGATTGCTCGGTTTTGGTGGGGTCAACAAGGGACGGAGCGGCGTATGCCTTGGGTCTCTTGGAGGCATCTTTGTAAACCAAAAGGGGACGGTGGTTTGGGCTTCCGGGATTTTGAGGCTTTTAATCAAGCGCTGCTTGCCAAGCAATGTTGGCGCATTTTGATGGATCCCACTTCCCTAGTTGCGCGGGTCTTAAAAGGAAGATACTTTCATCAGACGAGTTTCTTGAATGCTGGTGTGGGTTCTAACTCCTCTTGGGCATGGCAATCACTTCTTCATGGCCGGGCATTGTTACATCGTGGTTTGCGTTGGGAGGTAGGAGACGGTTCTTCCATTGATGCGTTGACGGATCCTTGGGTTCCTTCAATCCCAGGTTTTCGTCCAGTGGTCCTGCCCGCTGCAGATCGAACACCTCGATTCCTTTCTTATTTCATTTCTCCCATTCATCGTTCTTGGGACCTTCAACGTCTTGGAGAGTTCTTCACGCAGGATTCCATTACATGTATCATTCGCATACCTTTACCGCGAATAATTTGCCCGGATAAGTTGATTTGGCATTTTGATCCTCATGGTTTATTTACGGTCAAGTCAGCTTATCGGTTAGCGACTACCTTGTGTCCGGTTGCCCAGCCTCAAGGTTCAGTAGACCAGGCTTCTCCTCTTGATCCTAATTTATGGCCTAGACTTTGGGGTCTTCCTCTGGCACCCAAATTAAAATTTTTCCTATGGAGGATTTTATTAAGAATCCTTCCGGTTAGGGAGGATCTTGCTCGGCATGGTGTGCAGGTGGAAAATGTATGCCCTATTTGTGGTTCAGAGGAAGGGGAGTCTCTGGAACATTTATTCCTTTCGTGTCGTGTGGCACTAGCCCTCCGGGAATTTTTCCAAACACGCATTTATCCATCTTTTTAAGGCACATTATTCTCAATTTCGATCATTCTACCATAATCAATTGGGTTCTCTTTTTTTGGCGACTTTGGAAAGGGCGGAACAATGTTGTCTTCACACCGTATGCGCAATTTACCATTGCTGCCTTGTACCGTCAACTCCTTTCACATCATGCCTCTCATCAAATTGCCGTCCTTCCCTGTCAGTCGCCTCCGTTACCAACCAGACCCCGGTCCCGTTCTCGTCCGTTGCTTCATTCTAGTTTCCGAATTGCTGTTGATGGGGCTACCAGGGCTCCGACTCATGGCGCCATCGGTATGGTTGGCTTTGATCATCTTGTGCCAGTTTTTGCAAGGGGTGGTTTCTTCCCTGGTCTTTTTCATCCCAAGATTATGGAGGTGTTGGCAATTCGAGAAGCGCTTTTATTACTTCGACGATGGCAGTGGCAGGATCGACCGGTCGTGATCACAAGTGATGCTCTTGCTGTTGTTCACCATTTGACGGATTCTGATGCCAACGATGTTCTTGCGGGAGCTATCTTACGAGAAGTCATCTTAATGTTACAAGAAATGCCGCTGGTTTCTGTTGTTTTTACTCCTAGAGAAGCGAATAGGGCTGCCCATGTTGTGGCACGTAATGCCTTATGCTACTCTGGCACTAGTAGTGTTCGTTTTAACTGTTCTTTCCTCCTTTGACTATCTTCTCACGAAGAAGCCGTTGTTTTGTGGCTATCTTGTGCTTATCTAGTTAATCCGCAAGGGTTTCTATGACAAAAAAAAAAAACACCTTCAAAAGACATTAAACTTATTTAGACTTGAAGTTTGCATAAATAAAAATATCATGTGCTTCACAAATATGGTCGTCAAAATTAGAACACAAGACTTCTCAATTGGACGCGCACTCTAATTTTTATTCTTAATTAATTATTATAGCTAATTCATTATTTTTCTCCCTATCCGGGGTGAGTCCTGGCCTCCTAGGATCCACCCTATTACACTCTCCCTCTGCCCCATTTCAGAAAACTTTTAGTGTAAATTTTAACAAAAACAAAATCTTGTTCATCAACATTTTAGTGACATTTGTAGCAATGTTGTTAAAATGGACCGGATGGTCGGACTGGTAAACTGGGACCCAATCACCTAACCAAATCGGTATGATAAAAATCTGTAATCTATAAACCGACAGGCTTGTGAGTAGTCCAAAAGTTTAACCGTTTAATCGCTCAAATCGGTGTGCCCAACCATCCACTCGATGCGGCAACTGCCTGTTCCACCCTAGGGTCTCTAGGTGTACCATTACTCTGCTTCGATTTGTTATCTAGCCACACAAAATTTGAGATTAAGAAATTAAACTAACTAATTACAAGTTGGGAGCTAACTTAAGCATTGATTCCCCCAAGCCACTGACTGGATTAATGATTGACGATCATCAAACTTGATTTATTCTTCATTCATAATGAGGAGGATCCTTGACTAGACATTGAATCTCTATTCGAGCAATCAAGGCCTTCTTGAGTGGGCTGCTTAGAGCCTAAAGGGGCATTACCCTTCTCTAAAACAATTGATCAAGGTGTTCGGCACTAGACGACTATTAGGTGAGGTTCTCACACAAAACAAAACAAAGACCTGACTCGCGCTTATGCAATCGAGCCCTTACTCCCACTTTATGATGTTCTATTGCCCTAGTTAGATTTTCTCTCGCATATGGTCAAAGCGTAGTCAATAATCTTGATCAGGAAAGATTTGAACATAAAAACATGCATATATTGGATATGGACACAAGAATATCAAGATAGAGTACTCATACATACAATCATTCAATCAAGCTAAAAATTGCTAGAAGTGAAAGGAGAACTATTGGAGTGAGAGGAGTGGGAACACAATATAAAAATCAAGATCTTTAATCTTCATGTTTAGGTTTCATCTTCTAGCTCTAATGGTGGTGTGTACCTCCAATATAGCTCCAAGAACCTTCCTTGATCTCTCTCCCTCTCTTTGGAATTCTCTTTGGAATGTTTTTTTTTGGCCAAAACCCCAATTCTCCCTTCTGAAAATCACAGTAGAACCATTTATACCCGAGACAGTGCACGAGTCACGGTTGCATGTCACAGGCCAATGATATTTGACGGGGACGTGACGTCGATTAGAAACGCACCGCACCAGATACACAAGCCACAACTATCTTACCCATGTCACGGTATCAACCGTGACATGTGTTGGCCGGCCGCGACGTGCGCAAAAGTCTCTCGAATGTCACGACTTCTTCCGTAAATGTCACGCCCACATCACGTACAAAAGCTCGTAGAATCCATTCAGAGCTTCTAGTACTCTTGAAAAACAAAAACCACCTCTCCCAGCCGAGTTTAAGATTTTGATTCGTGGATGAATTTCCCCCGAGTTGGGTGTACAATCGGACTAGCGAAAGAAGAATGCAACAAGCTACATGTGGTTATGGGTGGGTCGATGTGAATCCAAAAAAAAAAACGGAGTACGAGAGAGCGAGAGGTGAGCGGGAAGGAGGGTTGCGCATTATGTGGCTAAAACATAATACGATTGATTCAGCAAATGCGGGAAGTGGGTGCATGTGGGAGAGACTGATTCATGATGATAGAAAGCGTCAGTTTTTTGTTTTTGATTGGCAATGCAACGTAAGTTTCAATGAAAGGGAAAACCCTCTTCTTCTTCCCACCTCTTTCTTTCACCCCCAGCTCACTACATTTTGCACTCGCTCTTTCTTTCACTCCAGCCACTCGTTTCCTTATTGGTCCCCCTTTTCCTTCTGGGTTTCTGCAAAATTTTGTAGCTTGCATGCATTTAATCTCTAAAGCATCTCCAAACAGATCCCCCAGCTGATTTCTCTCCCCCTTATCTCCCCTCCACCTCTGTCGTTTCCCTCGACTCTGACTCTCACTCTGTCTCTCTCTCTCTGCGATATGGCTGCAACCCTATACGACTGAGTTTGCTTCCTTCCATTGTCTTTGTTTTGCCAATGGTGTTATTGGGTTTTCACGGTTTTGTGCAACAAAGGGGTGAATCCCTGTTTTAGTATTGATTGGGGCGAAGAACAAACAGTTTATGTAATGATGATGAATCCTCTGTTTTTGTCTCTAGTTTTGGGGATTTTCAGAGAGAGATGTGTATGTAGATATGGAGGATGACCAATCTTGTCTGCACCAGTCCCTCCTGCCACGCAATAATTAAGACTTTGAAATTGAACAGCTGGTTTTGAATTGCAGCGATCGACATTCAAAATGGGATTTTTGCGGAAGCACGAGTTCGTTCTTGTTCAGATTCTGTTCTATCTGTATTTCAACATTGTTTCTTTCATATATAGTGTATACCCAGTAATATGACATTGATGACATTGCGTCATTAAGGTAAAAAATTATATGTTCAAATTTTCTTGGAGCTTTTTTCCCCTTAAAAGGGATCTTGAGGTATATATTCAGTATTACTTCGTTTTCATGAATATTCAACAAACTCATTAGAATAAGCGATTTAAAATTTTCATCTTGCTGGTTTCTATTTATAATGAGGTCGGATTTTTTATAGACCATTCCCGAACAATGATTTTAAAATCATAATCATCTCCATAACCAAAATGGGGCTGTGATATAATATAACATACCAAAACTGAATCATACGCAATTAAGGGAAATTCCACTCTCATCATCCTCGAACATTTGTATATCAATGTTAATTAAAGTTTCTTTGATATGTTGTTTGTAAAACTGAAAGAAAATGAATAGGATTAGAGATCTAAGAGATAATTATGATGCTCAAGTGATATAAACGGTCGAAGTGTTGAAGTGAGTGAGTCTAGAACATAATTATAACACATGTTCAAGTAGGTATGATCCGAACACTTACAATACAAATCACACCAATCTCATTACTTTTTTTATCGGGTTCTGGAAAAAGTCCACCAAAAATTATATTGATTAGATTTTTGTCGATAAATTAAAATTAATTCGAATTCGGGTAGATAACACAGTTGATGAGTTATTTTATCATCCATCTCCCACTACGACATAAAGCTACAACAACAGACCGCCTATAGTGATGGCAATGGGTCGGGGCGGGGCGGGTACCTCAATACCCATGCCCCGCCCCACGCTACTACGGGCCGGGGCGGGTCGACCCACTCTTATATGCTATTTGAAAAAAATACAAGCAAAATTTTACTTTTTGCAATAAAACGAAGGGGAAAGACTTCATGAAAGAATAATAGTGATAATATAATGGGTAATTAGGTCTATTTAATTGAAAGATCAAGTCTAACTAGTTGAAGAAAAGCCAAAATAGGAGATATATGAATGGATGGTGTAAGAAATTGACCTAGAACGGGCCAAAAATGGGACGGGGCAGGGCGGGTCAGAAGTTGATACCCATGCCTCGCCCCATACTACTGCGGGTCGGGTAATACCCGCCCATCACGGGTCAGGTCGGGTAATACCCGACGGGGCGGATTCAAATTGCCATCCCTAACCGCCTAAGACATATTCCCCTACTTCTACTATTCAGTTTTTTTTTTTTTTTTTAATATTAGAGTTCTCGTTGATATAAAATTATAAATCCTTACCAAAGTGGACAGATACATGAGCCAAGCCCAAGAAAAGAACCAACCAAAAGAAAAGAGCTCAACAAACAAACCAAACCCAAGTAATCATAGCCCACCAAAAAATGGTATGTACAAGAAAAGAGCTGGAAAATAAAAAGGGCGAGGACGCCGCCGGCAGCTCGGAGGCGCCAGTGACGGCCGACTACAAAGAGTACCGAAAAGATAGAGAGGAGAGAGATTTTGAAAGTTTAGATAGAAAAGAAAAATGGGAATGATAAGATTGTTACTACTACCATCACCATTCAGATAAACAATGCCTCAAACGCCAAACTAAATCAGAAGCTTACTTCACAGTTCACAGTTAACAGACAGGACTCCATTGTCAAGTATTTTCCTCTAACTCTCTAGTCTCTACAATGTTTTGCAACACGATGTTGGAGGTGTAAAATGCTTAGCTCCACAGAAAAGTCAGAAATTGGTCTCAGTAACTAACTGACACTCCTGCGCCATTAGGTTATGAAACCAAACCAATAATACCACTACAATCCATGATTTTGCTACAACACCATGAAAAGATGTATTTACACCCCCACCATCCTTTTATAGGATGATACCATACTATGATTTAGCAACAAGATATAGCCCTTACGGCAATAAGAGGAGGCACAATATGGACATAAGGGTCATCTTCTTCTGGGTTCCATTAACCTCAACACTTTTATCCAGCGAAGACAGGAAATCAGCACAGTAACACAGACAACGAAATCACAAGCTCAGCTTGCTAACATGTTTTTATGGCAATGAGGGCGGCGAACATGCACCGCTTTATAGATGTTCATCACGCCATACATGTGAAATTTCTATCCAACAAAATAAGCAACAAAATCTGGCTGACTCCTACCGTGATGATCTTTCTTCAACCAACTGCTGGATCGGTTCTCGTCGACAGACAAGTCGCAATGCTAACTCCACGGCGTGGGTAGAACAAGCCAAAACACCATCTGCTGTCAAATAGAACCAACACAATGGAAGCTGATACTGCAGCAGAAAACGAGCAGTTGGTCTCAGAGTTGTGTGTCCAAGACAAGGTTTGCCCACAATGAGCAAATCCATAACGGAAAGCTCCCAACTTGTTCCCATTTAACCTTGCCAGCAAATCCATAAAACAATATAAAATTAGAGACTGGTCACGAGATTGACAAATGAGAATGATAATTAACTATACAGTTACTTAACCAACAGCATTATGATTAGTTTGCAACATCGAGAATATTAGGATTACAGAGAGTTAAATGCAAGGAAAAAAGCTTTCCTGATTGCTATTATTCAACAGCTTGTTTAGGGAAACAAACAATTAATTTATTATGAGTTAGCTTTTCACTTACAGAACCAGTACTAGTAATGACTAATGACAACACCATGGAAAGATGCATTTACCAGGTCAGTGTTAATCAGCAGTCTACAGTAGTAACCTTAAGAAATACATGCACAAAAACAGGGCGGGCCACGGTGCTAACCAAGATGATCTTACATCATTATTTCTTTGGCAAGTAAAAGCATATTGCAATTTGGTGAGACGCTAATTAAATATTTCTTTGGCAAAAAAGTAGACCATTTACTTACCTTGACGAATGCAATGCTCCCGCATCAACCATATCAAGTATTTGAGAAGTGAAACAACAGCAACTTCTGAATCGACCAACAGTGGGGCAGATATAACCATTTTGCACTCACAGGTGGCCAACTGCACACCAGTACATAAGTCACACGACGACTGTGCTTCAAAATCGAATTGTAACGCCATAGCATTTCTGTAAACATATTGTACTGTACAAGACAGTTTTAGAAAGTGAAATTACTTTCTTTTCTTTTTTGGAATATGCATACTGTTGATTAACACTGACCTGGTAACTCAAAATACCACGGGAATCCCCTTGTAGGGTCTGGTTCATAAACTTCCTGCAAAAGTGGGAGGACATTCAACAGTCACAGCAGGGGGACAGAACAAAAGACTACGCTTGAGAAGAAAAATATTAGATCCTCACCCTAAGCAAACAATTTCCAAGCAACTTCAAGGAGTCGCATATGTATATGCATTTCCAGCTGAAAAGGAACAAACATCGTTAAGAACATCTAGGAAACAATCACATGGCATATCTAGCAAAGTATGTTAACAATAAAGATATTGTAGCAATAAGTCCTTAAACAAGCTTCTATAAGTATTGCAATCTACTAAAAGCAATCACACACCCCTGGCTGGTGTGGAAGCTGTGTTGTTCTCCTTTTCGCTTTTAATGACGCATTTCACCTTAAGGGAGAAAAATAATTTATTTTCTATAATATCCAAATAAAAACGACCAACACAACTATTTCAAGACAGAAGTCAAATTGTCTTGTACCACCACATAATAGCAAAGAATCTCCTCCAGAAAACCTCAAATTATCTTTTATCCATGGAGTACTAAGGTAAATGATGTGCTTTCTCAAGGAGACATAGACTACCACTCACAGAATTTTCTTTCTGGTATTTTTCTAGTTTAGTGGCATGCTGAAACAAGAGACATAGCTTGGAGGAGAGCTAAAGATTACCATGTCCAAGAATCATAACACCATTAGCAGCAGAAGGTTTAAGATCTTGTATCTTTTCAGCAGCAAAGATCACTTGAAGAACTAGCAAATGGAAGAAACAAAAATATCCTGGATCGCTTCAGTACCCCATATGAATGGATTGCAGAAAACAGTGCAGACATTAAGAGAAGAGAAAAGCAAAGATGATCAAAACTGTATGTTAAGTTTAACATAGGGCAGATGTTATCATATAACATTACATGGAATAGACAGCTGCCAATATGGATTCACAAGGTTAGCTCACATGAGCATGGAACAATCCTTAAAAGTCGTAGTCCATAACCTGTACAAACCTGAGAAGTGCACGGACATTTCTGGATTTGCATCTCCGCCAACTTTATTAGCAGCATCATCCAAGTCAGACACACTCATCATGTGTACAGAATGCAATCCATCAGATACCCAAACAGTTTGTGCTCCTATAAGACGCATACAAATTTCCTCATTTGCCAAACAAGTATATATAATAAATAGGTCTGCACTTCTCAAGAAATTTCCACCAAATAAGAAGCACAATGCCTCATATCAAAATGAGAAAACAAGCAGTAGATATTCATCAATTCAAGCAACTATAAGCTTTGCTTAAGCTTCACAAGAATTCTCAATTAGGTCCATCGCATATTCAGACAAGCATTGTTGAAGACCCGAGAAACGATATAACAGAACAATAAACCCCCCTCTCGATCACACGATTGTAAGATTCTTACGAGCACTTAAACGTCATTTTTTATTCAGTCATTATATCGCGCACTTACTTAAGTCTCACAGAGCAGTAGTCATTGTTCTACATGTGCATCCGAAAAAGACTTCTCATTGTTGTAGGTTGTCAATGTACATGTATGGTAGAAATTTACCTCTTCATTCTGTCTCCATTACATAAACAGAAAAACTGGAACAGATATAAAAAAAAACTATAGAACTATTAGTGTTCAATGTCTTTGGGTGTCTTTACATAAATGCATCCATCACTAATTCCAATATAATAGGCACAAAAATAAGGAAGAAAGAGGACTCGAATATGTATCCAGAGGCTTGTTCTCAAAATTCTAGGCTAGTGACTCAATAATTAACGAACGGAACATAAAATCAGTAGCATAATGGGCGACTTACTCGAGGAAATATCAGGGAGAATGGCAAGCTTTTGCACCTTCATGCTGTAAGGCATCTTCCTTATGTCAGGGACAATGTTCCACCCACCACCAGGAATAGACAGAGACAAGATATGTAAATCTCCCGTGGAGTTCAAGATCATAAATTTTTTGGGGGACAATGCCTGGATAGAAACAGCCTTCCCAGTGCTGGATCCCAAGCCCACAACATCCTCACCCTTAAATGGCACGAAGCATGAACCTGCTTCCCCAGAATCTTTTCCCCTTCTCACAGATCTCTGCTTCGCTGCAATTTAAAGAAGTTAAAGTGCTATGAAATCTCTATGAGCCAATGCATATTCATTTGTAAAAGGTATCTGCTTCCGTCATAAAGACATGCAAAAAGTTGAGCTTTTCAAAACTAGCGAATTAAAATAAAAACAGATTATGTCAACAATGAAGTCTCTGCTTAACCTGCAGACTAGGATAACAATGGGATATACTTTCCACAACAGTCCTTTACGAAGCTAAAAGTCATTGATGAAATGACAACTTGCTAGTTTGCAGCCATATTCTAGCAAAAACAAACTACAAAGAGCGCCTTCCAGATCAATAAGTAAAGAAGAACTCCACACATGATAACTCTCACCCTCCATTTACAAAAGTTACAAGCTTGATTAAAAACCTGATCAAGTAGAATTGAGTTTACTCATTGATTTAGCCAAGCATACAGATGCCCCTTATAAAAGAATGGGACCCAAAGGGATTAGTGGATTGCCTCCTAATCACTTCAAATAAACAAATTTCGAAACAGTAATAAACAGCATCGATGTGAAGAATATGAAAGCCAACGAAAGAAACTAAATTCCCTTCAATTATCCAAATATGTCACTGAACCGGTAATCTGCATTTCCTTTGCAATTACTACGAATATCACCTTCACTTCTGATTCAATCATGTTGGGAGGCAATCACTTGATCTACAACTCCTTCCCAGCTCATTTTTGTTTAAACACCTTCCTTAAATGGCATAAATCATAGAAATTTATTTCTTTCTCAAGTCGTTTTCTCAACTTCCTCCGCGGTGAAAGTAGCACTAAAGTAAACAACTGTCAAGCTGCTGAGTTTAAAGACAGCATAAAAGTGGAAAGATTCTAATCCACCACAGCTCAAGCAAAAATGCAATCCAAACTAATTCTGCTACTGTCTCCAATGGAACTTCTCATCAATAATTGAAGACAGATCCAACTAAATATGCACAACCATTCACATGATACAAGAGGACGCCATCACAAATTGATATGGAGAGTCTCGTTCCCTGAGTACCATGACAAGACGGACTTAATCAATTGTATTTCATGATTCTAGTGCTACATTCACTAGCATTATGAGACCTTATCACTAATAGCATGAGGGAAAACAAACACTGGGAACACCAGAAGAAGAAGAAAACTAGTAAACTAACCTGAAACATTTTGCTTTTCCATCTTCTCATTTAAGATGCCATTGCTTGCAACGCCATAGTTCAAACCACCAAGCTTCAGTCCTCCGATCACACCATTAGGCAACTTCGATACTTGAACGTCAACCTTCCCATTCAAGTCCGTCATTCCATCTGAACTTGAACTCCTAGCCTTGTTGACTTTCCCTTTCACCAGCTGCTTCAAATTTAAAACCCTAACCCCGCCATCCTCCCCCAAGATCAGGAACCCAAACGAGACACTAATAGAGAAAACCGGCACCCGACACTCGATTACCGCACACCTCATCAGCTTCACTTTCACAGCGTCACCGTCGCTGCCACCATCCTCCCCAATCAACTTCACCGCAAAGACCCAAACTTTCCTGCTGGAAACCGAGTATAAACTGAAGAAATTGACCGACCCAACAATCTTTATCGAAACCCCATGATCCACATCGAGCAGAACGCCCAATTTGGGATCGAACCCAATACCCTTCTGACTGCAAGAGGCTTGAGCTTTAGTAAAGACATTCTTCTTCTTGTTCAGAACATATAGCTTGAGAAGGATCTTTGCACCACCCATATAAGGAGCAGCAACAACGAACAGGACAGTAGGTTCAGAGCTATGATTGTCGCGAAGGAGGAGGAAGGAGGAAGAAGAGGAAGGGGGAGGAATTAGGGTTTGGGGTTTGGATGGGAGGGAAGAGGGAGTAGGAGAAATTGAAGGGTAAAGGGAGATGGAAGAATCAGAATGCATAAGGGCTAAGGATAGGGAAAATGGGTCAAAGAGAATTGAAGTTGTTAAGGAAGGAGAAGAAGGAAGAGGGAGTTTTGAAGCTTGGACAAGTACCATCAGGGGAGATGGGGGAGGACGGGCGAACGAACCTTAGACAGGAGATTTGATTTTTAGGACATTGGAGGGAGATTTTGATGCGCTGCTCTTTCGGGATTCCCAGTTCGTTGAATTTGTTGGGTTCGTTCTCTGTTTTCTCCTTCTTCCCTTTTTACCCCTTTGGCCCTTTCCCTTACTTTGCATATACAGGTCGTTTGTATGAGTTTATTGACAATGCGGTTTTTTATGAGGAATTTGAACGTGAAATTTCCATCAAATCTTCTTTTAGGTCATTTGGATGAGAATTTTCATTCTTCATTATGTTAGATTTTAACCAAATAATATGTTTGAGAAATGAAAGATTTCAAGGTAGTATGGGTTCTTAAATAGTTGCTTCATTAATTATTTCGAAATCACTCTATTGTCTAATTTTCTTCCAATTTTGTCTTTTTTATTTTTGTAAGAAAATCAACCAAAACCTCACACACAAAACCCATTTCTCTCATCCCTTCCTCCCGCCGCCTCCTCAGTCCTCATGACTGCCTCATCTCCTTCTTCCTCTCCGGCAAAAGGTATCTATAGTTTGTTCCGAAATTGAAACGATGATAGTCTCCAATCTCCATCTTCCTTTCCAATTGGGAACGTTGAGCACGACTAAATATTTGATAACTTAAACATGAATTTCAATATCAAATCTTCTTTTAGGTAATTTAGATGAAGATTTTCATTCCTTAAGTATGTTAATATGTTTTCACTTAAAATTATTTTGGCCCAATTGATTAGTCTGAAGCATTTATTTAGTTTTAAGTAGGTCGACCTAGTTAATTGTAATAAATGGGATGGATAACATTTTGGGGCTTAATTTTCTTTTCTCCCATTTTTTGACAAAATCATGGTGGTTAATGATGTCGCGAGTTCAACGGCGTCGCGAGTTTAAGAACATCATTGTGGTTAACAAAGTCACAAGTCCAACAATGCTCAAACAATATCACGAGTCCAACAATGTCATGGGTTCAAATAGTAACGGTTTTCCATTACAAACAACATCACTACACAAGTGACTTCACAAGATTACTTGGTCACCACGTTGATGGGTTAGCCAATAGGGTGTTTCGAGCACATGTTTTGTTAGAGAAACAATTGTATTCACATGGGGCTCGCGCGAAGAAGATTAAAGACCGGGGATTCAAACAGTTGAAGACGTGGGTAACAACAGGATGGTTTTGCGACAACGACAAAGGAGTTTTCTACATGTATTAGTGGAAAGACAAAAGGGAAGGAGAGAACAACCAAATCAACATAAACAACTCGGTCTCGTTTTTTTTTCTTTTTTTTTTCTTTTGTAACTCCTAGTTGCTAAGCTTCCATGAAATTCTCCATAGGTGTATGAGTAGTCGTAGTCGAGGAGCTCTATAAAGAAGGTAGAGGTAATCGTAATTTAGCGTATGTTTACTAATATAAAACAATCTCATTATAACATTGTTTGAACATATATGAACCGTAATAGGTAACTATAGTTTGGTGTTATTAGTCTGACTTTTCCAAGTAAACGAAATTGAAGAGGCAAAAATTAAAAAGATTTGTTGCTGAATGAGGCATCAACAACTTTCTGAGAAAAAGAAAAACGAGGCATCAGTAATATGCATAATGCATATAATATCGCACACATTTCTAGTTTTCTACTATTTGAGCTTAACGATCGAATTAGTTAGCACTTAGCACATCTATTAAACTCTGACGTCGTTAATGGAATATTGACCGTAAATATACAAATGGTGGAGTTCTCGAATATGATGATAGACGAACAAGAATAAATTGATAGATGAACGCTTCTATTTAGGGTGGGCTTGATGGATTCGGTCCATAATCATATTAAATTGAGATAAGAGCGGACTAAAAAGAAAAAGAAAACTGAGGATCAGAATCGAATCTAGAGCTTGTTTGGTCCGGTTCAAATTCAATTTTGATCCATACTTAAGATAATTTATAGGACCAAAATCTAATCGAAATATATTCGATCCGATCCTATTCGACCCAGATATAGATTCGATATGATTCGGTCCGGTGTGAACTACATCGTTGCCCAGCCCTACTACTAGTACTACCAACCTGAAAGACGACTATGCAATTCCAAAATGAATGGTATTTTTATTATCGTCATCAACTTGGAATAGAATTGTTAAGATCACAACTGATGAACTACTCCTAAAATAAGAAGTCAATTATAGGAAGGAAAAAAAGAAGAAGTTAAAGATATGTGAATCAATAATGTGGCATTTTCAATTTGTAAAAAAAAAATTGATGTGGCATTTTCAAAAGAATACTAACAAAATAATAAGAATGAGACAATGAGCTCATGATCCTCACACCTCAACGGCTCAACCATTAATAAATCGCTAATCTAGTTAACAGGTTTCCATCTCTAAACAATTTTTCCTCTTCATGAAAATGATTTAATATGTCCTTTGACCTTATAGAACTCAATATTTCCTTAAGAATACTCATATCTAGCGGCATCTATTGTAGTAGTAATGTAGTATACTAGTATTACAGTTGGCTTTGCAATGCGAAATACTTATGAAATAGAGAACTTGTTTATGTATATTTTTTATGAGCTATTTATATACTTTTTATATTATTTCCAAATTTATAGGTCTTCCGTGAAGATCACGGTCCGAAGTTCCCAACTGTTATCTCTTCATGTTGCCTGTGAACTCGGCTCAAATTAGTGTCCATAACCTTAGGGTACTTAACATGAGTAACTAAATTTGAACATTTCCTTTTAAGTGAGTTGTAGATCTAAAAGTGGAGAATTAAATAAGATTTGAAAATTTCTCTTTCGTTGAAGGGAGGATTAGAGCTCCGAAAAAATAGGAGTGCGACGAAAATCCTTGCGGCGATCGATCTAGGGTTTCACGGGCCATGCCGGCGGTGACTGCACCGCTGGCCGAGGGAGGGGCAGCGGATAGCCCTATGTTACCGGAAGCTGTATCGGGCCATCGTAGACCGCCACCGGAGTCATCTTCGCCAAACCCCAAGGCTGAAAGAGAAGCGCAGCAAACAAAGAAGCGAGCGAAGCAAGCTATTCCAGCTATGGAGGAGGAGGGTGCTATTAATCTAGACGATGCGGGACAGGCAAGCCAGCGTAACACTCAGACTCCGAGTCCCCGTCCTTCGGTCTGGGGTTCGGGCTCGGGGGCAGCGAGGAAACTTTTTGGTGATTCTCCACGTCTGGGTATATGGTACATCGCGGACTCGGATTCCGAAGACGTTGCAGAAACCATGAGACAAGAAGGCGGTGATGCTGGATTCGAGGGGGAGGATGACCCTAAATGCCCGTCGATTTATTTCACGACGGCCGAGGAAAGGATGTTTAGTCGGGAATGGCGTTCTGCTCTCGTAGTTAAAGCTCTAGGGCGGTCCGTCTCGTACACCCTCATGGCTAAACGTCTGACGAGTCTCTGGGCTCGTGTGAACACGATCCAAGTGACGTCAGCCAAGAATGGTTACTTCCTGGTCAGATTTAGCAGCGGGATCGATTATGAAAGGGCAGTGACAGGTGGCCCGTGGATGGTGGGTGACAATTACCTAACGGTGCACCCGTGGACCAGTGATTTTAACCCGTATGAACACGAGATCTCTTCTACCTTGGTATGGGCGCGACTGTTAGAGATCCCCATCCATTACTTTCACCCTGTGGCAGTGATGCGGATAGGGCAGCGCATTGGGAAGCCTATTCGTGTGGACCAGGCGACAAGTACGGGGGCCCGTAGCGATTATGCTCGGGTATGTGTTCAGGTTGATCTCACCAAACCATTGCTCTCGAAGTTTTCGTTGCATGGGAAGAAGTATTTTATTCAGTATGAAGGCCTCGATAATATATGCTTAAAGTGTGGGACGTACGTGACACGAGGTTCATGTTCATGCATGGCCCAATCAATGGAGGAGGAGGCTCCTCCCAACGCGAGCAATGTTGAAATACCGCCGGAGAAACCAGATGCCCTCTACGGGGACTGGATGATAGCACAAAGGCGACCCCGACCGAAGAAAGAAAGCGGGAACCGAGACATAGCAACGGGGAAGTCTAAAGTGAACAATGACAAGACGAGGAAGGAGGGGCCAGGTGGTTCAAGATATAATGTCCTTGTTGTTGATGAAATGAAAGATGACACTGGGACGGGCAATGCACAGGGGGAGGGTAGTGTTGAGAGGAATTCTGCGAGTGTGGAGAAAGTGAAGGAACCCAAGAGCAAACAAGTGGATAATAAAAGAAAGGAGACTAAATCAGCAGGAAGCAACTCCGAGAAGACTAGGAAGGGTGATGGGACGAAGACGAGTATCAGCTCGGCTAAGAAGCCATTACAAGTCAAAGGAACAGTTATACTGACCCAGCAGGCGGGGGAGAAGCCCAAAGATCCGGTCACAGCCCTCCCAGGTGAGACGCCGCAGTCGATGCCAAGATCGACTCAGCCGAGGATAATTGTTAATGGGGTCCATCCTATGGAACCCGAGGCTAGTCAAGGACATAAGGTTCGGCCACCTGACGAGCGAGACAAGCTAATGGAGAAGTCGGGAACCCCACCCCTAGAGAAGACGAACGAGATTATTATGGAGGGCCTCGTGAATGAGGCCTCCACAACGTGATCCTATCCTGTGTTTTTCAACCTGCAATCCATTGTTAATGATGAACATATTTACGTGGAATTGTAGGGGTGCGGGGAGCAAACGCTTTCTCAGAGTGTTCAAAGAGTACAAAAGGAGATATCGTCCGAGTATTGCGATTATTGTTGAACCACGGATTAGTGGTGCTAAAGCGTTACAGGTGGTGGGGAGTATGGGATTTGATAAATTTTTCATTGTGGATGCCGTAGGGTTCTCGGGAGGCATATGGCTGGCTTGGGACTCGGGTATGGTATCTATTTCGGAAGAGGACAGATCGTCCCAGGTGTTGCATGTACAAGTGACGACGGGGGAAGGTAGTTGGCTCCTTTCGGCCATATATGCAAATCCGGCCTTAGTCCAGCGACGCGAGCTCTGGAGTTGGGTCAGGGAACTGGCTGAGTCGGTGGCTGAGCCGTGGCTGTTAATTGGAGATTTTAACTCCATTCTTCACCAGTCGGATAAATCAGGAGGGGCTACCTTTGATGCTAGTCGTGCGAGGGAGTTTCAGGACTGTGTATTGGATGCGGGTCTAGTTGATCTTGGTTTCTACGGGCCGCCGTTCACCTGGTTTAAGAGGGGTGTGAAGGAAAGGTTGGATCGAGGCCTGGCAAATTCGGCGTGGAGGGACAAATTCCCGGAGGCGACAGTGAGGCATCTGCCGAGGATGAAGAGTGATCATAGGCCGATTCTTGTTAACCTGCGGCCTTCCTTTCAGCCTGGTGGTCCGAAACCTTTTAAATTTATGGCAGCCTGGCTAGTTCATGAGGGCTTTAATGAAATGGCTAGTCAGGCTTGGGCGAGAGGGGCTGATTTTCTATCATCGGTGGCGGAATTTGTGGAGGAGGCAAAGAAGTGGAATGCAGATACCTTTGGTAATATTTTCAGGAGGAAGAATGAATTGCTTAACAAGATTGAGAGGTTGGAGACTCGGTTTGGTGGGGACGCGGAGCATGAGCCCCTGCGTCTAGCTAGACAGGAACTGGAAGAGGTGTTATTACAAGAAGAACTTTTGTGGTGTCAGAAGGCCCGTTTGGAGTGGGTAGTCTCAGGAGACAGGAACACGAGATTTTTCCATTCCAGAACCATGAATCGGCGCAGGAGGAACAGGATAACGGCGCTAAAGAATGGTGCGGGAGAGTGGGTGGATGATCAAGACCAGCTCCTTGTCCTAGCAAGGGACTTTTTCTCGGGTCTGTACACTAATGATGGGGCTCCCGCCAGTTTCTTGGTACGAGCTTTTCAGGCGATGCCGCCTAGCCTATGGAGTCCGCTTGACAGGGAATTTACACCAGAGGAAGTTCACCAAGCTGTTAAACTTATGGGCGCACTGAAGGCACCGGGCAAGGACGGTTTGAACCCTCTCTTTTATCAACGTTGCTGGGACTTTGTTGGTTCTGCAGTGGTGGAATTTGTGAAGTCTTGCTGGCAGGTTCCGGAGCGGGTCAAAGAGGTGAATGACACCATAGTGGCACTCATCCCGAAAGTCGTCAGTCCCTCCCAGATCGAGCAATTCAGACCGATCAGCCTCTGCAATGTGGCTTATAAAGTGATAACGAAGTGTTTAGCTGAGCGGCTTAAGCCTCTGATGCCGAGTTTGGTGCACGCCACCCAGACGAGTTTCGTCCCCGGCAGACACATAACTGATAATATTTGTATTTTGCAGGAAGTAGTACACTCGATGCAGGCGAAGAAGGGGAAGGAGGGGTGGATGGTTCTCAAAATCGATCTGGCTAAAGCCTACGACAGGATAAAGTGGAGTTTTGTACGTGATACTTTAGAAGCTGCTGGGGCCCCAGTGAAGTTTACGGATATGACCATGAACTGCATCTCATCGGTCAGGATGCAAATTCAGTGGAATGGGGGCCTTACTGAAGCCTTCTCGCCTTCGCGTGGACTGCGGCAGGGATGCCCTCTTTCCCCATATATTTTCACGCTGTGCATGGAGAGGCTGGGGCACCTGATTGATGCTGTTGTGGGGTCTGGAGAGTGGAAGCCTATCTGCTTGTCCAAGAATGGACCGAAGCTGTCACATTTATTCTTTGCTGACGATCTGATTCTGTTCAGTGTAGCTTCTATGCAACAGGTGCAGGTTATTTTGAGATGTTTAGAGGAGTTTGGGATGGCTTCCGGACAGTCGGTTAGTAAACCGAAATCGAGGGTGTTCTTCTCGAAGAATGTCTCAGGCACGGAAGGCACTTTGCTCAGCGATGCACTTGACATTCCAGTGACTAGTAATCTAGGTCGTTATTTGGGTGTCCCTGTGATTCATGGCAGGGTATCGAGGACTACATACACCGGTCTCATAGACCGAATTGATGCCAGGCTTGGAGGGTGGAAGGCGAACTCTTTGTCTTTGGCAGGGCGGATTACGTTGGCTCAGTCAGTCCTCTTATCTCTTCCAGCTTACACGATGCAGACTGCTCTACTGCCGGCATCGGTCAGGGAGTACATAGATAAGAAGATCAGATGTTTCATTTGGGGGAGTTCTGAGCAGGGGAGGAAAGTACATCTAGTGGACTGGGATTCGATCTGTAAACCCAAAGACGAAGGGGGTTTGGGACTGAGAACTGCGACGAAGATGAATGAGGCATTTATGTTAAAAATTGCGTGGAGACTGTTCACGGAACCAGAAAGCTTATGGGCACAGGTGGTTCGGGGGAAGTACCTAAAAGAAGTTGATGGAACATTGCAACCCAGGAGAATCGGCCGGCTGTCCAACTTATGGAGGGGTGTGCTCCGAGTGCTGGAATACTTGCCAGAGGGCATGATGTGGAACGTGAGAAGTGGCATGCAGACTCGGTTCTGGCAAGATAGGTGGCTCCAAGACGGGCCGCCATTAGAGGACTTCGCGGCTGAACTCCCGGCTGCAGTGAGAGAATTGAAGGTCGCTGAACTCATTCTCAATGGTGATTGGAACTGGCCGTTCATTCAAGCCTTCCTCCCGGAGGCTCTGGTTCTTCAGCTACGGCTTCACCCGGTGCCGCAAGGTATTGAGAAGGATGTTCCTATTTGGCGGTTCTCGGAATCAGGGAAATTCACGGTTCGATCCGCTTATGATCTACTCAGAGACAGTGAAGAGGAACATATTCGCCAACCTGCATGGAAAGCCATTTGGAAGCTCCAAGCTCCCCAACGTACTCGTACCTTCCTTTGGCTATTAGTGCATGGTAAGCTCCTCACTAATGGAGAGCGGTGTAGGCGCCATCTAGCGACGTCGAATGGCTGTCCGGTCTGTGGGGGCGGCCCGGAAACTGTGATCCACGCGAATCGGGACTGCTCTTATGCTCGAGCGATCTGGTCGGAGCTGTTGGAAGGCGAGCCGGACCGTATATTCTTCCAGGAGGACGTCTCGAAGTGGGTCTTGCACTACATTTCGGGTAAGAGCTCGAACATTTCCCCGATGTTGTTTACGATTACTTGCTGGCAAATTTGGAAAAGCAGAAACATGTGGGTTTTTGAGGAGATGAGGACATGGCCAGATCAGTTAGTTCGGCGAGCTAGGCTCTTCAGCGAGCAATGCGAGGAGGGGTTTGAAAAGCGGAATAGTGTGGTGGAAGGTGGCAGGAGTGTGGAGCAGCATTGGGTCAGTTGGCAGCGCCCCCTACAGGCTGGTTGGTCTTAATACGGATGGGTCAGTGGTGTTAGCGCAAGGGAGTTCGGCGGCAGGCGGTGTGATCCGGGACAGTGAGGGGCGTTTTCTGGTGGCTTTCTCGACTAATCTAGGGGGAGGCTCTATTACTAATGCCGAACTTGCAGGGATAGCGCAAGGGTTGCAGCTTGCTTGGGAGCGTGGATATCGGAAGGTGGCGGTGCAGACGGATTCTTCGACGGCGATCTCGCTCATCCACTCTGCAGAGAATGCCCACCCTCATTACACTTTAGTTGCTTATATCCGCCGGCTTATGGAGCGGGAGTGGGAGGTTTCACTGAGTCATGTGTTTCGTGAATCTAATTTTGTGGCTGATCATTTAGCGTCGGTAGGGCATTCGCTGGCGATAGGAACCCACGTGGTGGACGTCCCGGGAGCCGAGTTGCGTTACTGGTTGTATTTTGATACTCTTGGGGTCCAAACCCCGCGTCTTATAGCTATTTAAGGGTTTGAGCGCCCCTTTGCGCTCTGTTTCCTACCAAAAAAAAAAGTGGAGAATTAAAGGCTTTTTATTTTCTCTAATTTTTTTTAATCGAATCATATTTCTACATTCTAACTCAGCTTTTTTTTTTTTTACAAATGGAACGAGTTCGTTGTGCTCTATAAAATGAGATACATTTTCAATATTTTTTGAGAATTTTTTTCATACATCTCGTTACCAACTCCATACCATATGTTATCTCCTTCTTTTTTAAGTCATTTAAAAAAAATTGCACAGAATGAACGAATTAATCACGATCTATTGGATAATAAAAATTCTGGGTGAAAAAAATACTGGACCAAAAAATACCATACTATACCACCCTGGTACGGGGTGGTATATTTCGTACCATTTGGTATGCTCTTGTTAATACCAATCAATAGCACCATGGTATAGACCGGTAAAAAATGACTCTTTTTTTCCAAAAAAATATTAAAGTTGATATCATTTTGAATAGCACAATTAATCTAATCTAACTGTGCAAAAAAAATTATATTCCGACTTAAAACGATAGAGAAATATTATGTTAAAGATTAAGGAGGAAAAAATTAGTGGAACTTCCAAAAGAGAGAAGAGGCGCTGATGAGGCAGATTGAGATTGAATTATCCATGGTTATTGACCATAGAATATGATCCTTTCCTTGCGAACTCCTTGTCTTTACCCACTTAGGTTTGTCGTCATAAACTCCATCCAATTTTGCCTAAACCAAAACGATTCACACATAAATATGCTCATATGCAATATAAAGCAATTCTAGACTAAAATGCAAGGTGTAAAACTCATTTAAATCCATTATAAAGACATGAAAACACCTAGGTAAGAGAGGTTAATAACACATGTTTTAGGTTGAAACAGTTATTGCCGCTTAACTAATAGAATTGAAACAAACGAAATCCATTATTTATCGCATGTTCAATGAGCTTAACAAGAATTGTAAAATCGCACCAGAAGTTCTATCGAAAAAATAAGCCATAGAATTTTTTTTATCCTGAAACCAAAATTTAATCATGACACCTTCATTTCATACCATTAAAAACCTTCTACTAATTTTGCCTCCAACAACATTGGACGGTCGTTACGATTTTACTATCGAGTCAAATTTAAAACAATTTGTAGGTTGTTACTTGCTAGAATATGTGCGAGGCAAAATTCCCATTCTACTCTGCCGGAGGACCACCAAGAAAAAGCAATGTGTCTGCCACCAAACACTAAAAAAGGCCAATCTCAGTGCGCTTGCTCTCTTTTTTATTAGAAAACTCAAAACGTGACTACAAGTACTCTTCCGAGTCCGACTACAAACTCGTCGCCACCGCCGAATCCTAGATCCGATCCCAACAACGTAACATACATTACATACATACACACAATCCCCTCCAAAAACCCTCAATCGGTGAAATTAGCAATGGCTCCGTGGGGCTCGCAGGCCTTGGCGTGCGCCGCCGGCTCCACGGCGGGGCTCGGCGGGACGGGCGCGCCGAGCAGCTCCTCCGGCAGGTCCTCGATCCCCTTGAGATAGAAAGTGTAGAAGAGCTTGAAAGGGAAGATCAGCTGCTGCAGCTTCACCTGGCCGTAAACGCCTTCGAAAATCCCCGAGCCGCCGGTCACCGCCAGGTAGCTGTCCTCGTAGGTGAGGTACGGCCCCTGGACGGCGATGTGGCCGTAATCGCCGAAGTAGAAGCTGTAGATTGCCTCGTACCGGTCCCCTTTCATCTCCGGCTTGTGCTGGATCAGCAGGCATATCCCCGACGTGATCCCGATCCGCTTCTTCAGGTCCCCGCTGTAGACCTAATTAATCCGATTCGCAGAGAGTCAGTAAGATTTGAATCGGAATTTGGAAGAGAAAAAAAAAATTTAGTCAAAAAACGAAAGGGAAATCGGAAGAGAAACCGACTTTGTTGCTGAAAGGGACGAGATCGCCGAGGGAATTGGTCGGCTTCTGGCTCAATCGGAGGACGGCGGGGCTCCCTCGATCTCGCTCGTTCATCTCGTAGACGTGGAGCTCCTGAACTTTGGCTGCAAAAAAAATCGAAATCAAAATTAATAAAATAAAAACGAAATCCGAATTGACAGAGCAGGAAGAGAGAGAGAGAGAGAGAGAGAGAGAGTAGTTACAGGGAGGTCTGGCATCGTCGGAGGAAGCGGCCTGGCTAGTGCAAGAAGAGAAGGATCTCCTGCTTCCGGCGAAGGAGGAAGCGTGCTTGAGGGATCCAGGGTTCCGGAGCTTGAGAGGCAGCTGGAGGAAAGTAGTCTTGCCGGCGGCGGCGGTTGTTGGCGATGCTCTAACAGCTGGATTGGATAGTTTGGAGGATGCGTCGACGGCGAGGAAGGTGGAGGCGGCCATTTTTTTCCGGCGGTGATTCTTTTCTTGTTCACTAGGGAGGAGGAGAAGAGAGTACAAAAAGAAGAGAGTTGGTGGTGTCTGCTGTGCTGAGTGGAAGTGAGGGAGAAAGTGGAATGAGGGAAGCCTTTAAATAAACAAAAAAAAAAAGGGAGATGCGGGTCGGGTTTTGTATTTGGGTTCTGGGTCGGCGCGTGGGAATGGGTCCCGGGTGGACGGAGAGGTATGAATTCGAAAAGGCATTTTTGTAGGTCAAGGCCGCAGCTGATTCCCCGGAGTCAACATTTGTCAACGGCGTGTATGTGATAGAATGTCGTTTTTGCCCCCTCTTTCTTTCTGCAGTGTATAAAACTATAAATTGATGATTGAACTTTCTCGTTGGAAACGTGATTTTGGCTTTTTCTTCTGTGGGGGAGGACCATGCTTTTTTCTGGACGGAGAGTGTTTAATCCTTAATGGTCGGTTTAAGAGAATGAATATTTCGAAATGGCTTCATAAAGTTTTTTTTAGTTTTCCAAATTTACACGTGTCTTGTAACACCTTAAGGCAAATTCCACATCGACCAAGCACGAGAGAGTTCCATGGTACATAAGTAGGAAATTGGCCTTAATTGACAAGACACGTTTTGGGGTGAAATGGAGGAGTTCTTGTGAGAACTCCGAAATTAAACGTGCTAAGTGTGGAGTACAGCAAGGATGGGTGACCTTATGGGAAATCGTCACATTGAATTACACCCAAGTGGAAAACCGTGAAAGTCGAGACCCAAAGCGAACAATATCTTCGTCAGAAAAAAATTCGGGATGTTACATGTATGGTCTCACAAAAAAAAATACACATGTTTGGCAAATAGAGGGATTTGGAGGAGAACTTCATGGATTTGGCGTCTAATTCTGCTTGCATCTTGAATTTGGAGGAGGATCTTGAGATGTTGAGAGTTTGCAAGTCCTTTTATACAGGTGTTTATCTCGTCGGCTAGGGTTGGGAAACATTTTTCGGTTTTCCGGTCAATGTATACAAAATATTATGCATCTTGAATATGTTACTCTTTAAAATTACAAATTATACAAAATATTATGCATGCATAATCAGGCGAGTTCAAGTTAAATAGTGATAAAACCATACCCACTCATTACTCATAATATTCTAGTTTGGATTTTACCCATATCACTTGATATTTTATATTGATCGGGTTTTACTCCACCCATTCGGGTTGGATATCCAAAATTTTGGATATTTTTACCATCCCTAGTTGGGTATTTACTAGGATTTATGGTGTAAAGCTTGTGCATGCGAGTTGAATATTATGTTGTAAGTAAAAAAAATTGATATTTTCTCAGCTATTGGTTCGATGATTCGTATGAGTGACTAAACAAACTATTTATTTTTCGCTCAATATAGTCTGTCTAGTCCAGATCGTACCGTACCGAACTGCACAAACATAATATATGCTCTTGAACATATAGTATTTGAACTGATTCCTGGTATATGCTCCGACTTCTTGATTTGAATCATAAAACTATACGCATGCTCCTGTTTGAACCAAACTGCATCGTTTCCCAACCATTCGAACCAGGACCCACTAGCAATTTTGTCAAAGATATAAAAGACTCCCGCTACTGACGAGCTAAGAAGTAAGAAGGCCCAACAAGGACTCATAAGGCAATATGGCCCGGCCCAGCATATCGTTGTCGTGTTCACAATATGCCGAGCGAATACGATAGGATAGCAAGCCCCGACGGCCCATTAAACATCTTAAGACCCTGGCCCTGCCAAGGCCGGTGACGGCCTGGCCCAATCCACAATCATCAAAACCCTAGTCAAGCTAAATCCCTCGGAACTATATAACCATCACATTTCAGCTCTTTTCCCCTTCTCTCACAGTTCCGTCTTCCTCCCCGTCTCCAAACCCTAGCCCCGCCGCAGAGCCACCCTCAATCCGCCGCCGCGCCACCATGTCTCACGAACAGTTGGTTCTCCGCGGCACCATGCGCGCCCACACCGACCAGGTCACCGCCATCGCCACACCGATCGACAACTCGGACATGATCGTCACCTCCTCCCGTGACAAATCCATCATCGTCTGGGATCTTACCAAGGACGACAAGAACTACGGCGTCGCCCGCCGTCGCCTCACCGGCCACTCCCATTTCGTCCAGGACGTCGTTCTCTCCTCCGACGGCCAGTTCGCCCTCTCCGGCTCCTGGGACGGCGAGCTCCGGCTCTGGGATCTCGCGGCCGGAGTCTCCGCCCGCCGCTTCGTCGGCCACACCAAGGACGTGCTCTCGGTCGCCTTCTCGATCGACAACCGCCAGATCGTGTCCGCCTCGCGTGACAAGTCAATCAAGCTGTGGAACACCCTCGGCGAGTGCAAGTACACCATTCAGGACGGAGACGGCCACTCCGATTGGGTGAGCTGCGTTCGATTCAGCCCCAACACTCTGCAGCCCACCATTGTTTCCGCATCCTGGGATCGTACCGTGAAGGTGTGGAATTTGACCAACTGCAAGCTGAGGAACACACTGCCTGGCCATGGTGGGTATGTGAACACCGTTGCGGTTTCTCCTGATGGGTCACTGTGCGCCAGTGGAGGGAAAGACGGCGTGATTTTGCTCTGGGATTTGGCTGAGGGTAAGAGGCTGTACAATTTGGATGCCGGCGCTGTGATTCATGCGCTCTGCTTCAGCCCCAACAGGTACTGGCTGTGTGCTGCTACTGAGAACAGCATTAAAATCTGGGATTTGGAGAGCAAGTCGATTGTGGAGGACTTGAAGGTCGACCTGAAGGCCGAGGCCGAGAAATCCGAGGGTGCTGCACCCAACACTCTCAAGGTATATTTCCACTTTCGTGGATACTTAATTGTTATCGTGATTGTTTGTTTGTTTTGAAGCAGTCTAGAATTATGGTCAGAATTGGTTGCTAGTTAGAATGACGGGTAATTTGCTGTGGTATGCTTGGTTGTGAGTTATAGTGATTGTTAATTCCCTTATCGTGTGTGGTACTAGTGCTTGAACTGCATCTAAAGTTATCGTTAGTTATCTGGTGAGGCCATTGTCGAACTTGTTGTATTTGTTGTCTGCGCATATATTTACCCATTCATTTTCAGGTGTTTTGGTGTTTGCCTCTAGTTTTGCAGGTTTACATTCATAGAATTCTGTAAATACATTATCAAATAATATCTTTTAGTCAAGTTGGATCAAACTTCTGGTGCATGATTGGCTTGAGTTGGTTCTGGATAGAAGTATGATGTATGTTGTTGAAATGGGTTTCTGCTCGATGTAATGAAAGTGTAGCATCAATTCAGTATTATCGATGAGTGTCTCCAACATGTATGGTGTTTGTTGTATGAGAGTTGATGCCAACAAATTTCTATGTGTAGATATGTTTGTTTATAGATTGAAGCAGCTTGTTCCCTCCAATTTATGGCTTTGAACTGTTCATCTAAGATTTTGCCGCCAATATTCCTGCTGAATGGTTTCTTTTGTGACTCTGATTATCTTTGGTCTCAGAACATCCATTGCACGAGCTTGAACTGGAGTGCAGATGGAAGTACCTTGTTCAGCGGATACACCGATGGTGTGATCCGAGTGTGGGGCATTGGTCGCTCATGAGAGCTGAAGCTTTTGCTAGTCATCAGAGCATTAAAGGAGAGACCTTTCTGTTTTTGTTCGATTGTAGGGATGAAACGGTTATTGGGGACTTGGTTTTAAGTTTTTTCTTTGTCATAGAAGTGAAGAATGCTTAAGGTTCTGTTGAAGTTGGATATTTTCGTTTATAATGAGCCCTAAGCTGTTATGTCATTTTGATCACATATTTAGCATGTTTTTTTATTTTGGATTGATGTCCTGGTTTTGCAACATCCTCTGCTTGGTGCTGATAAATATGTTTCTGAAGTTGATGCAATGTGTCGTTGTTACTTTGTTCCTCTAGGATGCAGTTTTATGGGCGGATTTTATCCTCTTCTATACATTAACGGGTCGTTTGCTTCATGGATTTGAAAAATGAGGGTTTTGGTAAAACTTGGGTTTTGGAAAACCATGGATATATGATGGATTGTGTGGTATTATGGATTTGAACAAGTCTATTGTTTGCTTGATGGATTTGATTATGAACTTTGTTTGATTAGATTTGTGGATATTAAATACAAATTACTTTGTTATCCTTATTTAATTATATTTCTATATTATAATCCAAATCTTTCATTTAAAACTAATCCAAAACATAGAAAGAAATTTTAAACTCTTTACCACTATGTGGATTAATAATTCAACTACAAATATAGAAATGTATTACAATTTGGCACTAATTAACAATTCATCTAATAATGTACGCATTATTATGTATCAATTGCAACCAATTGCTCGCTTTATTGCTACAACTCATCATATTCTTGCTAACTCACCGATGTGGAATCCGACAGTCAATCAAATAATAATGCACAAGATGAGCATAAAGTGTTTTTAGGTGAATCTAACAAATCACATATACATTCATATTTAAATAAAATACGATATTACAAAACGAAATGATAAATTCTCATATTTATAAAATACGAAATTATAAAAGTTTATAGTTGCATGACCATTGAATTAAAGTAGGAAAAATTTATTAAAGAAATAATTAAGGGTAGAATGGTAATTTACCATCATGGATTTTAATCCATCACCCAAATCCCACCTCAAGAGGTGGAACTTCAAAGTCCGTGGGGTCCACGGATTTGGAACCCCAAAAGAGGTGGGCCCCACAAATTCCATCTTCCTAATTCCCTAAGGCAAACGATAGATTTCGGTTCAAGTCCATGATGGATATATTTCCATGACCAAATCCATCACCAAAACCCTCAAGCAAACGACCCGTAAAGGTATACTTTGCTCGATATTGGGTGATGGATTTCCCAGGCATCAAGATAACCCATGGTTGGTCACTTAGTTTGCATTTGTCACTCGAAATATTTAAATAAATTCATTAGTGGTCACTCGAATTAGTTAAATGGTTTAAGTTTAGTCGCTTTTTGTTAGTGTTTATCAATTTTCTGTCAACACTCAGTTAATTGTTGATGTAACTAACTGAAGTGCGTACTCACCCAGTTTTAACCTGCCACATCACCAAACCTGACCTGCCAAATCATCTCTCCAACCCAACCCAACCCTGCACAATCTTGACCCAATCCTCCGCCTCCGGAAACCATCACCACCTCCGAAAATTCCATCATCCCTCATCCATCCCCATTCTCATCTCCTTAATGCAGTGAATCCCCTCCCAATCATTCTCATCTCCTTAATGTTACAAATTTTACATATAACATTACATATATCTAGAGGCTATAACTTCTCCTAGTTTCAACCTAGCTACTGCGGTCTGCTAGGATACCAATGAGGCTCAAGTACGCCCATTGAAACCCAACTCTGAGAGGTTCCAGCTGGTGGTGAGTCAGTAACCCTTACAAAATAGGCCCAGATGTTAGACAGTACAAGAAGCCCAAGAAGAAACACAAATAGAGATATAGCCCATTCCAGCAGCTAAGTGGTAAGCCCATAAACCAGTTTGGACTTTGGAGGCCGACCTCTGTACTTGATATTTTCATATTTTGCTCTCTCTCTCTCTCTCTGTTTTCCTGTCTGTCCGGTGCCCATTTCTCCGCATATGGAAGCAGAGCAGATGCAGAGCACCCCAAAGTGTACCGTACAATGATGGACATCTCCCATCCCGCTAAATGCTAATCACACTTAAGCGTCGCAATCTACATTAATGATTTGCACACCATAATCTAATCCCATTCTACCTACAGCTAATTGCGTCTGGGTGAAGAGTCAAGAACATAGATACGCCGAGATTCTTTCACTCTTCCCCTGAAATTGGGAAGCTAAGTTCAATGTATAACATCCATCGCAAAATACTATACTTAGTCGAGAGAGAGACAGTAATCTTCGTGTTAACCAAGACAGGGATACGAGAATCAGCCTTTTATTGTTATACAACTACCAACTTTAAATAACAAGTAATATGCAGAAACAGAGCAGGGAAGAAAAAAAAAAGGTGAAGTGGCCTCTGGGTTTAACAAAGGGAAAACCAAGGTTGTCTGTCTGGGACTGGGATGCAAAAGGCAGCAGCGACCATGCCTGATCACGTGGGTGTATGTCCTCCTTTCACGCTACAACGTTAGTGATATAATATTAACATGATTGTGATCCTTTTTTTTTTCTCTTCCAAAGTTCAGTGTAGAAAGACAATAAGAGAGGAAGGAAACCCAACCCACCTGGATTTAGCTTAGCTCCATTCCGTTTCTAATACTCTTTATCTAAAGCTTAGTACCACCAACCAATCAACGACTTGCTTTTGCATGGCATCATGCTTCAATGTTCTTGCTACCTAGCTTCCTTCCTATCATTTGGGGATCTCTTATTATCTTCCTATAAACAAACCCCAAGTATAGATTGGGAGATATGACAATACAAGAAAGTAAAAGAACATACGGATTTACGCGATTCAGTAATAGGATGAGAGTGTTAGCTAGGTCCACGGACAGGAGATAGCAATTTCACTATACTGGAAACTTGCATATAACCTTCTCGAGACGACCTAACCTATTCCAACCGCGAAAAGAAAAAAAGTTACAGACCCAAAACTAAAAAAAAAAAAACTTGTACAACCCCATACAGTCATTACCCACGAACTCCTAAATCGGAGTTCATCCCTGACCAGCGAGACCTCCGTGACTTTCAATCGAGATGACAAATAATTTGTCTTCAAATCATAGCAAAAGTGGGTTTTGTTTCTTTTCTTTCCTTTTGAATTGGTTTTCCTAGGTTGAAGTGTAGAGAGATCATCAAAATCATTGGAAATTTTGTGTCTGGTTTTGGGGTATGGGGTGTGGTGGTTCATGTATACAATTTACAAAGGAATGGCTCATGCATTGTCATTGACCCTACCCAACATCACCCATATACTCACCACACCCACACCCACAATTATGTCTCTCTTTTCATCCTCATGGGCCAAGCTAATTCCCCCATCTGAAAACAATATACTTTTTATTTACTCCATCATTATGCATATGCTTTGTTACTATTAAATTTCATTACATATTGTTCAACTCCAACTAGGAGGGAGAAAAGATCCTAATGAACAAAAACTCACTTCATGCACATTCGAATTTTGACACCAACAATCACTTATGAAAAAGTTTAAAAAAATAGAATTAGAGGAATTGATTGACTAATCTACTATCCAACCGAGGCCCGTCTAGTACAATTTTGTTGCGGATATGATTGCAGTCTTATTCCGACAACAGAGATACAACCACAATACCATAAAAATGAAAAACGAAAACACATTTAATATCAATGTTGAGACTTAAATGAAATCACGAAAATGATTGGAGGAATAATGTGCTATATGACGAGATATGAGAAGATTGAGAAAAAAGTATGAATAGTTTTGGCAGTAATATTTCGGGAATGAGCTATTAAATGGGGAAGGAAAAATATGTAAAGAAATCGCTTTTTGGAATGAAATTATTACAACAACTGATATTATCTCGCAAAGAAATCGCTTTTTGGAAAAAACAACAATGACGCTACTTAAAGGTATTCCTCCATGTTCGTCTGGTTTTTGTTGTGTTGTCAACTCTTATTGTCTTTTTAAAACCCTCTCCAGTTTCCAATGACCACAGTTCAAATCCATCCAACTAAACTTTTCTAACCTCTCGTTCAATCTTCTTGCTCCGCCACTCAACGAAATGCAACACACATCTTTTCTGATATATGAAGTGATTAATAATTCCATACATGTTTTTTTTTTTCTTCTCCCTTTCCTTTTGGTGTCATATTATTTGTACAGCTGTTATACAATATAGGTTAGGTCAGTGGTGTCCAAAAATCACATCACTCGATCCATCAGATTACACACTACTCGATCTGGTAACCTAAAAACTCACCATAATAACAAACACATAAAACAGCAGCTAGCAAGCACACGTACGCCCGCCCATTCCTTCTTTCCTGTTCGTCTATCAATCGATTGACATGATCAAATTTAGTACTGTGCCACTACTGAAAAATCTTGCTTGGATTTGCTTGCACCGCCCTAAAGGAAAGACACTGTACAGTTTTAGGTGGACAGACACGAGCAGTTGTTCTCTTGTTTATGTTTTCATCCCCAGTGGAATATGGGTATTCTTTTTTAGTGTTTGTAACACCGTACCGTATCGAGGTTTGATCAAGAAAGAAAAAAAATCTCACATCGGAAGTTTAAATCGGCAGAAGGTTTCAGTGGTATATAACTGTCGAACTACGGTTTCACCATAATGTTGATATGACTTGAATCGGATCATCTGCCGTCGGCTGAAAGTCCAAGTACGGTATATGGGTTTTATACACGCGTCTGAGTTTCTGTTCTGTGCATGCATGGGCTTGTAACCTTATTCTTTACCAGATTGGATTAGGGTTAGGCTGCATGGAGAAATATTATATATGTACGTACTTCTCAATCCCTCTGTAATCTCTTCAAATACAATGAAACTGGCTCTCTCCTGCCCGTGGACTAACTAACAAACGTGTTAGTGAACTACATAAGTCTATATGTTATTTCTTTCTTGCTACGTTAGTGAATTACTTCGATCTATCCTTCACACATAAAATACTCTGTCGCCGCTGACTATTCGAATACAAGCTAGCGTGTGGTTTTGCAATGCCCTGGTATTTGTCTTTCTATTTTGGCGGGTTCAGTAACTAACTAGCCTGAATGAATGAAGCAGCAGCAGCTGGCTACCAATATTGTATCTAAACCTTAATTAGTCATGATGACTAGCTAACAACTTATTGTTACATACAACGTCAGGATAATTAATTAAATAATTAAGAATCTAGGTAGGGCTGGGCCATATATATATATGCAATCTTAATTAGTAGTACTATCAGATAAGCTGTCACTTGTTTAATTTGTTTTAGTTTCATCCAACACAAACATATTTACCAATATTCATTAATGGTGAAAGAA